AGATGTTTTTTCCTTAAAAGAAGTGCCATACAAGGAACAATGCTTATTAATCTTGATGACAGCCTGTTAGAATGACAGAAGAGTGAATGGAAAGTCTGGAAATCTGGAGTGTATTCTAAGAATGCCTTTAACTCATTATGATATTTTCGGTCATGCAACTTTCCCATTTATCTGTCAAATGGAAGTAATACTGATCAGAATGATCAAAAAGCTAGCATGGAAAAGGTATATAAATGCTCCCTTAGAATTGTAATAAACAGTTAAAATATATGATTTATTGGTATCACCTCTTAGGATTCCTTGTGTGAAAAACTCCTAGAACTCTCTAACTTCAATTACTTTATAAAACAAATGCCAAGTTCCCTTATTAATATAAACTCCTATTCGCCCATTTGTCCTAAACCTTTCATCCCAGGCTTTCAGTATTTTGAAAGATGGCTTCAGTGCAGCAATGAAATATCTTTTCAGTACATCATGCACACCCCTCTGTCAGGTATGAGAAGCCCGGGGCCTGTGTTTGGCCAGGACATGACTTGACAGAAACTTCTTCAAGGGTAGCTGCCAAATCTGTTTCTCTCCTTTTGGTCTGCAACTTCCATTACCAACAACTCTTGCCAAAGTTAACTCTGTGTGTGTGTGTGTGTGTGTGTGTGTGTGTGTGTGTGTGTGTACAGATGCTGAGTGTCCCATCACATATATCATTATTTAACCACTCTCTCATGGAAGGAAACTTATACTATTATTTTAAAAACTGCTGTATGTGTGTGTGTGTGTGTGTGTGTGTGTGTGTGTGTGTGTACAGATGCTGAAAACATGAGCCATCTTGCAGGGGTCAGTCAGAAGACAAGAGCCAACATTCCCAGAAATGGAGTGGTCAGGTTTCCTACAAAAATGTGCAGAGATTGTGTTTCTGAAGATGAGGGTTCAAGTTAAAAGCAAACAAAAATACCACAGAACATATAACAATTTGTTTTTCTTTTTTTGAAGGATTTGTGTTTCTGAATTTGGATCCAGTTCTCTTAAATACTTATTGAACTTCTCTCTGAACGTGGCTCTTTCCAAAGAAGTATATTAATATAAAAACCTCCTTTGCAGCTATTAAAAAAAATAGGTCAATAAACCCTTTATTTAGAACTTCTGAATTAACTCTGCAGAGGCAGTATGGCAGTACATAGTAACCAGAGCAGAAAGCTCGATGAAGATATAACCTGAAAGAATCCGACCATTTGATGAAAGCTGTGGAAAGAAAGACTGGCTTCTGCTCATGGATCTTTTCCGCGGGGTCTTTCTCTGTACCTGGGAGGATAGTGATGAATAATTGCTATTATTAAATCCTTTCATGATGCTGAGAGGCCACGGATAATCCCACGGAGCCCCAGGTGTGCCAGCTCTCCTCTGGTCTACCAAACCCTCCTCCATCTATTCCCTCCGCGGGGACAATTTAAGTTCAGGAAGGCGGCAATTGATGGGAGGAGAAGAGGTGAAGTTGATCTGTGTACAGATTTGTAAGCCTGCAGATTCTGGGGCTGGCTTCATCAGGAAAGGCTTGCATGAGTTACCTTCAATGGCTCAGTAACCACCCCTGGCTTCAGGGGTCCAGAGAGTCCTCGGTTCCTCAGACTTCTGTTTGATGGAGACACAGGACCTGATACAGGACAGGGGTGAGCGGAGGGGACAGTCCAGGGACCGGGAGAGAGTGGGAGGGAGTTAGCCAGACTGGGGTGTTGGCGATGCAGGCGTGGCTTCTAGTTGATGCGCTCTCTCTTTCTGTTTTTTAAAAAGCTTCCCAGCTCCCTGAGGACTTTAGGAATCTGCATGGAGGCCCGGGAAAACTCATGAGGCTTTACTTGTCTCCTGTGATGGTCTAGTCTCTTGCCTTTTTTTCATTCACACCTTTTTTTTTCTCTCATAGAGAATTTTAAGTCCAGTTTATGTCTTCATTCCCTTCTCTTTTGTTCCTCTCATCAAACTCTTTTTTTAGTTGCTGTTACACGCTAGGCATTGGGAAAACCAGCCTGAGTGAGGCGGAGCCCCTTCTTTGAAAATGAGCCGGCTTTAATAGAGGAAGCAGACCAGCAGGTTCAGGATGCCCGTGACCGGGCTCTGAGTGCAGCACGTGGCCGCCCGTACCCGTGGAGGGACAGCTGCACCGTGTCCCACGCAGGAGGGTCCGAACGGGCTTCCTGGTCACCGGGGACCTGGGCTGCCCCAGAAGGATGAGTCCTGTTCAGCCAAGAGGGGAGCACACCTCCGCTGGGAGACCCCTGAGGTCTAACTGGAACTGTGGAGATCCTCCACCTTTGGGAAAAGAAAAAAAGAAAGAAAAAAGGAGAAAGAGAAAAAGGCAGCTGTGTTTTGCATAAAAGCTTTTGCCAGAGATGGATTTCTGCAGGTTATGTTTTGTGGGACTTAGCCTTTTAGTGTGAAGTGAGACCCTTGAGACCCTCAGGGCGTGTGTACAAATGGACACCTGTTCACGTCTGTACCACTCGGATGGAGGAAGAGCGCACACCAGCTGTGTCGCTGAGCTGTTGTGGTGGCCGTCGCTTTGCACACGCTCTCGGTCGGGGGCTGAGGCTCACAGGGTGACGCTGCCGTGCATCTGGAGCCCACTGGGGGTGGGGGATGGGTTGGGATTCAGCCCTAGCTCCTGTTGGACACAGGAGCCCTTTGCTGCAGTGATGTCAGCACTGGTGACCGCAGTCACGTCAGTGTGTATGAACACACGTGTAGGCGCTGGCTGAGCACCCAGGGTCACATTTTCTCTTAATCCAACCGTAAGGACAAGACAGGTCATCTTTCTCCAGAGGAAAGAAAAAGTTTCATCCTTAGATCAAGAGAGCTTGTTCCTTGTCAGCTGAAGGCGTGATAAGCGTAAGGAGGTGGGGGACTAAAGACTCCATGCAAAGACAGCAGCGAAATTAGCATGAAACAGCCGAACTGAGGGAACCTTCCCGCCAGAAGTTCAGGAGGGGCAGGTCACCCTTGGTGCACCTTTGCTGGTTTTCACACGTGAGACTCAGCAAGGAAGCAACGGTGGCGAGCTCTCTGGGTTTCTTCACTTTCTTTTTTCCTGTTTTAGTCTCCGGTGTGGATTTCACTCCCGTTGCTTTTTCATAAAGCAGCTGAGCGGCGGGATGACTGGAGATGCCGTCCCGGCCTTCCCTCAGCTCCTGGCTCCGGTCCCAACCCCAGAGCAAGTCAAGGGAATCTGAGTGTGTCTGCTGGGATCCTGTTGCAGAGTTCCTATACAGATAGCTGGGAGTCTGGCATTGCTGTTTTTCTTTTCTTTTTTTTTTTTTTTTTTTTTTTNTTTTTTTTTTTTTTTTTTTTTTTGCTCAGAAGACACTTGGGTTGAACTCAGATTGCATCTTAGTTCCAAAAGGAATAGAAGACATTTTGAAAGCTTTGCCTGCTAGCTCCTCATTCACAGGAGTGTAAGTTGCACCAGGCCAGGAGCTTGTCTATCTTGTTTCTTGCGTGTCCTCGGTGGTCAGAGCACCTTGCAGGAGCTCAGGGAGCATGGAAGGGATGGGGGTTGGCTGCAGGGGTGGCTGCGCTCGGCAGTAGGTGCCACACAGTGGTCCTCGCTCCTGAGGGTTTCAGCTGGGAACCCTTCCTGAGCTCTCAGCGAGAATGGCACGAGTGCTGGCAGTGATGACGGCGTTGGTGACCGCGGCCACCGTGTCTTCCTTATATTGGTACACACGAGGGTGCTGGATGAGGCATTTTGCATACAGGGTCACGTTTTCTCTTAATTCAACTGCAAATACAAGACAGGTCATCTTGACACGCCTTCCTTTGCTCGTGAGGACCCTGAGGTCAGAGAAGGTGCGACTCAGCCACTCCTGATGTGCTGGCCTTGCAGATGGGTCAGCAGGTGCCTTCTCAGACTCTTAGTGCATCTTCCCTGCTTCTCCAGACCCTAGGCCCCTCCTGTCTCTGCAGAGCCCCTCCCAGGGGTCCCCTCCAGCCATGCCCGCCGCCCTAGCCTCTCCGCCGCTCTTACAGACACTCCTCCTCCAGGCAGCCTCTGCTGGGCCGTCCCTCTCAGCTCCCTCCCTCCCGCTCCCTGCTCCTGGGAAGTGTGCTCTGCTGGTGGGCGTCCAGCTTCCGTGCCCACTGCAGCTGGGCTCTTGTAGCCGCTCCCCTCCTTTGGCTCCATCCCGTGTCCTGACCGTGTATCTTCCCCAAATCTCTGTCCTGCTTTGTCTCCCCAGCCCCACCCCAGATGTACCCCCTCTAGAGCCGTGAGCATCAGCCTCGGCAGTGGCTCCCAGGTTCCCGCCGCTCTCCTGGCCCGTCTGCCCGCGCAGCTCTCTGGGTTTTCCATAAACTCTTCATGTCCACCCTTCACGCCTCGTTCCCGCTGCCTGTAGCCCTATCCACCGGTTCTTCCCGTAGCCACGTCCTCCGGCCTTTTAGCTCAGCTCACAGCTCACATATCATCCCAGGAAGACCTCCCTTGATCTAAATCAGCCACCCCTTCCCGTTAAAGACCCTCTTCTATTCTTTGTAGTGCCGGCGACTGTCTGACATCACCTTCATTTCTCGGGCGATACTCGTTGTTTACCACGATATCTAACTTTTACTGGAGTGGAAGCCCCATGAGGGCAGGACTCTCACGTACATCATTCCCTTCTGTACCCCAGAACCTCTGTTGTTTCCAGGATGCTCTGGACATTTGGCGAATGATGAGTGAATGCGTGGGGCTTCCCTGGTGACTCAGGCGATAAAGAATCTGCCTGCCAATGCAGGAGACCTGGGTTCGATCCACGGGTGGGGAAGATCCAAAGGAGAAGGAAACCACAACCCACTCCAGTATTGTTGCCTGGAGAATCTCCATGGACAGAATGAATGAGTGAGAGAATGAACAAAAGAATGCCTGGCCTCCCGAAGCTTAACTCCAGACGGCTGTGACCCTTGGGTTTTCCCGCCGCGCCTCTTGCCTCTGCTTCGACCCTCGTGTGAGCATCTCTGCCGTTCTGCCCTTGCCACAGGTGGTCAGAGAGATCTACAGCGGCTGCAGCGGGCCCGCCGAGCCGGAGTGTCCTCCCCCATCGAGCTCCCCGGTGCACAAGGTGGAACTGGAGAAGGTAAGGGGCGTGTTTCTTTCTAGGAATTAACCTTGTGGCTGCTTTAGGCCTTCCTGGAAGTTTTTAACAGCACCTCTGAGAATATCAGCATTTCTAGTTGAAAAACATAAAGGAAAAAGAAAAAAAAAAATTACGATGCACCCCCGCTGCCTCTCTGCCTGCCCGGTAGGAAGCACGGCTCAACTGTTTCACCAACCGCGTGGTTTTTATTCTTTCTAGCTGTAGATGCAGGAAAGGGGTGTGAAGGTGTCACAGGGTTTAAGGTGTCAAGGCCGCCGGCTGTGACACAGCAGGCAGCTCTGTGTTCTTCTGGAATACAGTAGGTGCTTCCCGAGTGTTCCTTCCCAGAGGTTTATTCCCCACAGACAGGTTACAACCCGCCTTGCCCGCTCTCTCTCCCCAGTGGTGTTCTGACAACACCCCCACCACCCACAATCCCAGCTCTTCATCTCAGCCCACACGGTGCGAAGGAAACCAGAAGTCAACCCACAGCCTGGGATAAGACCGGTGCAAACGACATCTGAGAGAGGACTTGCATTCAGAACAGAGAGAGTCTCAGAAGTCCGTATGAACCAAAAATCCAATAAGAATACAGATGAAGGTTTTAATAGATGTTTCCCTAAGGATGATGGCTCTTCAGAGTCCCTTGGACAGCGAGGAGACCTAACCAGTCAGTCCTAAAGGAAGTCAACCCCGAATATTCATTGGAAGGAATGATGCTGAAGCTGAAGCTCTAGTACTATGATCACCTGATGGCCACAGTTTGCCCGTATGTGCAAAGATCCCGGTTCCGTGGAGAGCCCCAGCTTCCTGCCCCGCGGTGTTCTGTCCGTGGCCTGTCTCCCAGGAGCGTCCTGAGGCCTCCCTGTTGACCCCTGCCCCGCCCGTGGACAGTTCCGCTCCGTCTGCTCTTGTAGTTAGGGCTTTCTAGAGAAACAGAACCCAAGAGTCTGTGTGTGTATGTATATGTACACATATTTTATATGTATCATAAAATATAATTTAAATATAAAATAAAATAAAATTCTCCGTGCAAATGAGAGACTCATTGTGAGCCACTGGCTCAGATGATTATGGACCCAGGTAAGGATGGTGTGACTTGGTGTGGGGAATATTTATGTATTCCTAGTATTTTTTCAAAATAATTTGTAAGAAAAAGTGATGTAGCATGTGTTACTGTAAGCTCAGTAAGTTTTTCCTTTGTTCTTTTGAAGTTTTTAAAGCTTTTGTGGCAAACCAACCAGATTAGTCTGTGTTATAGCTGAGCCCTAACCATCTCCAGATTATTGGAACGTGGCCCACGTTTTCTTTCGTTTTTGAGATAACATTTGACTGATCCATGATACATCACTTGGTCAGTGTGGCCATGGTACAGTAACTTAATCTTTTTATCCTCACAGAAACTGTCTTCAGAGAGACCAAGTTCAGATGGTGAGGGTGTTGCAGAAAATGGAATTGCTATGTGTAATGGAAAAGAACAAGGTGAGTTCTGCTCATGCCAAAAATATATAAACCAAAAAAAAAAAAAAACCCAACTCCAAAACAGAAACGACATCCAGGTCTGTAAATCCTCATTATGTAAAAATGTCCTCAGTGACTTAGTTATGCGAGTGTCATCATCCTGTGTTACACGGACGGAACCCAGAGGGCTCCCTTTGGTTAGCACTGTCTCTCCGGGTCTTCATTTTAATGCCACCAAGCCTGGGTCTAGACTTTCTCCTTTTGTCTGGGTATGTTCCCTGCATGAATTGATTGTATTTTATTTTTTTTGTGGAGTTGGGGGGTGGGCACTTTGCCTCCTGGCTTATGGGCTCTTAGTTCCCATCTGAACCATGATTGAGCCTGGGCCCTGGCAGTGAAAGCTCCCAAGTTCTAACCACTGGGCAGCCGGAACTCCCTGGTCCTCCTGTTTTACTGTATGGCTCACAGCAGGTTACTTCCTCACCTGATTTATCACTGGGACAGATTTGCCTCGGGGGCAGGATGCCAGCATCTCGCTGGGAGACGTGATTGGGGGAGGGGGGGAACCTCATGTAAGTGGAATAGTCTAGTGTTTGTCCTTTTGTGATTGACTAATTTCTCGTGGCATGATGTCTTCAGGGTTCATCCCCGTTGTGGCAGGTGCCAGACTCCCTTCCTTGTTAAGGTTGGATAGCCTTCCCTCATGTGGGTGGATCACGTTTCCTTCTCCAGTCATTCACCAGTGGACATTTGGGTGGCTTCCACCTTTTGGCTGTTGTCAGTAATGCTGCTGTGGGCATGGGGGTACAAATACTGAATTTTTTTTCCCCTAAAGTCAACTTTATAAAGGTGTAAATTACACATTGTCATATTCAGCCTTTTTGGCATATGACAGACACATACATGTAACCCGCATTGGAGTCAAGATGTAGAACATCGCTGTCACCCCAGGATGTTCCCAGGCAACCACTGACATGTTTGCTGCCCTGAAAGTGGAATCATATGGATGCCGCCTTCTGGGTCTGGCTTCTCACTCTGTGTATTTCGATTGAGGCGGATCCACGTGCTGAGTCAGTCATCCGTTCTTTTTCTAGGCTGAGAGGATTCCAGTATGGATGGACCAGTTAGGTATCCACTTTCTGACTGAAGAATAGCTGGCTTGTTTCTGGGTTCGAGTGGTTCGTGAGTGAGGCTGTCGCAGACGTCCATAAGCAGGCTTTTGTGTGAACACGTAACGTCTTCATTTCTCTAGGCTGATACCTTGGGCTGGGGCTCTGTGGCCACTGGCACTCATGCCTCCTCACCAGCCTTCTATTGTCATCTTCGTTTCATCTTGTTCTTTTATTTTGGCCATTTTAATAAGTGCACAGTGCTGTGTAATTGTGCCTTTCAAATGCATTTTCCTGTGACCAACAGTGCTGAGCACTTTTTTCTTGTGATTTTTTTTTGCCAGACATGTATCACCCTTTGTTGTTGCTGTTCAGTCACTCAGTCATGTCCACGTCTTTGCGACCCCATGGGCGGCAGCACGCCAGGCTTCCCTGTATCACTCTGCATCACTCTGTCTTCCTCTGTATCACTCAGAGTTTGCTCACACTCATGTCCATTGAGTGGGTGGGTCACCCAACCTTCTCGTCCTCTGTCGCCCCCTTCTCCTCCTGCCCTCAGTCTTTCCCAGCACCAGGGTCTTTTCCAGTGAGTCAGCTCTTTGCATCAGGTGGCCATAGTACTAGAGCTTCAGCTTCAGCGTCATTCCTTCCAATGAGTGTTCAGGGTTGATTTTCTTTAGGACTGACTCCTTGCTGTCCAAGGGACTCTGAAGAGCCATCATCCTTAGGGAAACATCTACTAAACCCTTTATCTGTATTCTTATTGGAATTTTGGTTCATACTGACTTCTGAGAAGTCTTTATCTGTTGATAAAGGGTTGACTTCTGGTTTCCTTCGCACTGTGTGGGCTGAGGGGAAGAGCTGATCTGTGGGTGGGGAGGATGTTTTCCCTGTGCACGGCCGGCAGCATCTCTGCTCCCCAGGTGAGCGGTTCTGCCCGCCCGGCTTGGCTCACCGCCCTCTGTCGCTGCGGCGGGGCACTGGTGCACAGACGTCTCCTGGCTCAGAAAGGAAGTCACCATAAAGGGAAGAGCAGTCCACAGCATTAAGGATCTTGGAGCCCAGGTCATCTGGGCTACTTTGACATGTCGCGGTTTACCCCAAAGGGTCATGATCTCTGCCTCGGCCCACGAGATTTTCTAACTCTGTTGTTTCTGTGTGTAATTTTAGTTCTTTCCATCGGAAGTTATTCGGTGGAGGGTATCATCTCTGTCTTTACAGGGCACATTATGTGTCATCAGGGCCAGGAAAGCTGTCTTTAAGTTCTGCCCCGAAATAGGACAACGTGCAATCTCAGGGCTCCTGTTCAGACGCCAGGGCTCAGTGGGCGCTGCTGAGGCTGCTCTCTCTCCTTGTTTGCCATTCCCTCTCCTGGTGTCCCTGCATGAAAGTGGGTTCTGCAGACTGACATCGTCTGTCTGGACCTACGGGTCAGTGTCTGTGTCCGCATCTGACGGTCTCGTTCCCTTTTAACAGGACCAGCCTTCTCTGCTCTGTCAAGGTGACCTTGGTTCAGACACTTCTGCCTGGCGTGGAACTTTGCATATAGTCAGACCCCCAGTGGACAGCCACTGAAGGAAGCTAATAGCTTAAGTACATCCTGACCTGCTCCCCCAGCTTTTATCCTTGCTGCACACTCTTGGCCAATTTGTACTTGAGAAATTCCAATAAAGCCCCTTTGATCCCAGCCATGTCTCAGCTCAGACAGATTTCTCTGCTGGCTGCGTGGAGGAAATCCCGAACTCCTGCAGCTTCCCTGGAATGTTAAACTCTTAACTGAACACGGAAACGAGCCAGACTCTGTGACCAGAGCCACAGGGAATGACTCTAAACTCGGGCATCTTCTTTCCAGGCGTCAGGCCCCGGCATGTGATGAACAGTGCAGTGTGATTTGGGGCAAATTAGAAGAGCTGCTACTGATGCTGCAGCTGATGAGAGAAGAGAATTGAGGCCCTGGGGCTGATCTGGGTGGGAGCGACGGTTGTCCCTAACTAGCCCTGCACGTGTTTACTGTTTGATCACGGGCTAATGAGGCTATTGGTGGACTTAGCAAGTGCTAAGTCGCTTCGGTCGTGTCTGACTCTCTGCCACCCCCATGGACTGTAGCCCGCCAGGCTCTTCTGTCCATGGAATTCTCCAGGCAAGGAATACTGGTGAGGATTGCCATGCCCTCCTTAGGGTATCTTCCCAACCCAAGAGTCGAACCCACATCTCTTAAGTCTCCTGCGCTGGGAGATGGGTTCTTTACCGCTACCACAACCTGGGAAGCCCCTAGGTGGCATTAGTGGTAAAGCAAGTGAATAGTCTGATGGTATTAGCTCCATGTCCCCATTCCTCCCACCTAGACTCTCATTTGTATAGGGTAACAGGAACTGTCTGGTTTATGACATTTATGGCTTTAAAATGCTGTGTCGCTGCCCCTCCCTGCACCCTTCCCCACCTTCACAGTGGTGCTGTGGACTCTGTCTCTCCTCCACAAGGTCAGTGAGTCGAGAGTTCTGAGTTTTTAGGTTTTTCTTCATAACTCTACTATATGAATACCATCCACATATTCTTGTTCTATCAACATATTCTCCTGTTCCTACAGCTTTGGCTTTTTCTTCCAAGGATGGCCTCCCTTCTGCTTTTGCAAAAACAAACAAACAAACAAAATCAATCCATGGGCATTCAAAGAATTAAAGGTCCTTGTTAACGTCTTTTCTTTGTAGTCAGAGTCTAGCAAGAGCTTTCCCAGCAGTAGCAAGTCCTCATCAGCTTGGAAGTCAGTCTGATGACTCAGCTTTCTCACGCATCACCTAGCAGGGAATGACTGACTCACGCTCCCAGACTTCGCAGAAGGTGCCTTCTGAGCACGGAGCGCCCTCGCTGGGAGGACCTCATCAAAGCTCAGCTTGAGTGGGACTCTGGTCAAAGGTTGTCTTGATGCTCTTGAGAAACCACGAAGAAGGGTCACCTACTGCCGCTTTCACTTTGGGTTTGTTTGAACTCAAATCAGCGGTATGGGCATTCCAACCAGGGGTTCCATGTCTGACGGCAGCTGGGGAGGGGCTGTGCCTTCAGACCAGGAGATGGAAGCAGGTTCCTGGCGCTTCATTTTACAGGGGATTGCGTGCGGTGGGAGAGTGTAAAGAGGGATCGGAGTGATCTCTCCGTGTTCTGTGTTTCTAACATGATCTGGTACGTGTGAGATAGCATAAACGTGCCTGTCTTAGCTCAGGCTGCCTGCCGTAATGAGATGCCACAGACCGTGTGGCTGAAACAACAGAGATGCGTTTCTTCCAGTCCCAGAGGCCGGAAGCCCAGGATCCAGGGCCCTCAGTGCTGGCTGCTGGCCACGGCCCCCTTGCTGGCTTGCAGATGGCCATCCCCTCACTGGGTCCTCAAGTGGCCTTGCCCCTGCCCCCTGAGGATGCCAATCCTGTCAGGCCAGGGCCCCACCCTTCGGCTTCACCTAACCGTGCTTCCTGAGGGGCCCGTCTACAAATACAGCCGCACGGAGGTTAGGGCTTCCCCATGTGTGGGACTTGGGGAGACGCAGGCATTGTCCATCGTGCCTTCACCCTGTAGTGAGGCTTCTTGCTTAACTGCACTGTAATGCCTCCTGTTAACTGTCCTTTCTTCCTGGAGAGGAAATCAGGGTTCCAGCACAAGGACTGACCTCAGGGACCTCCCTGAGTCGGGGCGGGCAGCGGGGAGAAGGGACGCGGAGCCCAGAGGAGGCTGGGCCGGGCCGGGCCGTTCCGCATGTGGGGCGGGTAGCAGAGTGGAACCTAGAAGAGGGGGGCGCCTCTCTGCCCCACTGTGAGCGGCCGGCGTGGGGGAAGGAGGTAGTGAGTGCCTCTGCTTTCAGAGGGCGGGTGCAGTATTCAGGCCGACGGTTTATGGTCTCACATGCCCGAGTCCTCTTTCTCTGCTGACCCGGTGGCTGTGTGTGCGCTGTCTCTGTGGGCAGAGGGCCGCTGAGGGAATTCTTGACTTCTGTTGCCCTTTCAAAGGGTCTGTGCCGCCCTCTGGGTTACAGATGGCGGGATGAGGGGTCCTCCTGGGGCGGACTAGGAAGGGGCTATTGGGAGGGATCTTGGGAGTCAGTGATGGCATCTGGCCTTGATGCCCTGGGGTCCCTCTGGGGCCCTCCCAGCCCATCCACACCAATCGAGGCTGCACCTGACCCTCCTGGAGGCTCGGTGTCCTGCGAGGCCCTTGGCTCCAGGGTCAGACCCGGGACAGCCCCGGTGACGGCTCACTTCCCAGAGGCGCTGTCGGTCCTGGAGAATCCTCTGTGTCCACCTCGGTCTGCGCCCCGTCCCCACCCTGTGCTTCTGTCGGAGGTTGTGGACCAAGCCCGCGGGGCTGGAGAGAGCAGATGCCCGGCACAGGTCAGGCACGGGAGTGGAGCTGGCGGCCGGCGGTCCGTCTGCCGGGGGCCTGGGGCTGCGGTTAGCCAGGCATATCGGTCCTCATGCACGGCCCCCACCCACCATCACTTACCAAACTGTGGCTTCAGAGTGGCTAGATCTTTCAGTTTTCCAGGGGAAGCCAGAAGTCATCTTTGTGCAAAACAGTCCTGAGTTTCTCGCGTACGATTGAGCCCCGCCGGCCAGACAGAACCCACGGGACTGGGGCTGGGATGGGAGCCTGACAGGTCAGCGAGGGGCTGGCTGAGGCTCCCCGAGGACCGCCCCCTCCCCCCGCCAGGCCGCGCCCCGTGCCGCCCAGGATGCGGGCGCCCAGCCTGCCTTCTGTTCCTTGCGGCGCCACAGGCTCTGCGAGAGCTGACGCTGTTCCTGCCCGGGTGGCTTTGCCCCGGGTTTCTGCGCCGACGCTGCCTTGTGTTCCGCTGCTGTGCTTCCTAACCGCGCGGTCCCTCTGCCACGAAACCCCGCCTCAGGTGTGCAGAGGCCTTGCGTCAGGCAGCCTCCCCCAGGGTGCGTGTGGGTGCGTGTGGGTGTGTGCATGTGTGTGTGCGTGTGTGTGCACGTGTGTGTGTGTGTGTGTGTTCAGCCCGCTCTAGAACACAAGCTTCCTGGGGGCCTGTTTGTGCTCTGTTCTCTAGACTCTAGACCCATCGCAGACGCAACGCAGGTGCTTGATGCGTAAAAATTCAGGGAAAGAAAGTTGGCCACGACACATGCTTTATTTTGATGTTTTTTCCCCCCCATTAAAGTATACCATTGAAACATGCCTTTTTGTCATCATCTTTTTTCTTCACAGTTAAGAGGAAAAAAAGTTCCAAATCAGAGGCCAAGGGAACCGTGTCTAAAGTCACTGGGAAAAAAATCACCAAGATCATCGGTTTGGGAAAGAAAAAGCCGTCGACGGATGAGCAGACCTCCTCGGCAGAGGAAGACGTGCCGACGTGCGGTGAGACGGGGGCGTGGGGCTGTATTACCAGATCCGTCCCTTCCCTGAGCACGGAGAGCCTCTGTGGGTGACTTCTGTATTGCGTTTGTCGGAGTCTCATTGATCGGGATCGTGATCAGTTAAGCTGGGGGAACAGATTACACTTTTACTGCTTTTTTTTTTAATTAATTTTTTTTTCCTGGTTATTAATGAAGCCCTTGCAAGGGTTTGAAATGATCTCTGAGGTTCTCTCAAGGTGAAAAACAGAGTCTCTGTTTGACCCCACGAGGTTCTCCCAAGTTCCTTTCAAGTGACTTTAGAGGGAAACGTGTACGTGTAGGGTCAGCCAGCGGAGGCGTGCCAGGTATGTAAGAACGTTTACACAATCCCCAGCGGCTCCCCACTTGGCCTGAAGTCCTGCAACTCAGCTTTTAAGGAATGCTCTGCGCCTCAGACTCAGTCGGGCTGGCTGACCCCCCTCCCCTCACTGGTCTTGGTCCAGTAAGAGGTCTCTGGGCAGCCCTTGTTGTCGAGGCTGGGGAAGCACCAGGGAGGTGGCGGTGATGGCCAAGACGCCCCTGCTGCCCCTACTTGGCTGGGCCAGGGCACGGGAGAGGCATCTGCAGAGAAAAACACGTCCGGTCTAGTGGCAGAAGGTCGACCTGAAGCAAGGAGTCACGGAGATGAGTGTGTGACGACTGACTCGTGGTCACAAACCCGGGGGGAAAACCTGGTCGGCCACGGGAGAGCCTGTCAGGGACGTGGCCTAGATGGGGTGATGTCGGGGACCACCTCCCTGCAGAAGTGAGACTGTGCATGCTCGGCGTTTCCTAGGCAACCACACTTCTGAGAGTTGGGTGACTCTTTCAAGGAGAGAATCTTTAGAGGCTAAAAGATGGACATTCACTCTTTAAGAAAACGGAAAGTGAGTCATGCCTTTCCCGCGGACCACGGCTCATGGGCCGATGTCCGTCTGCGTCAGTGCTGTGACGCCTGTTTGCGTGCTCCCTGTTCCACCTCTCTCTCTCTCCCACCCCTTCTGGCCGAGCCTCTATTCTGTCCAGGTATCGGGTTATTTGGGGATGCCAGGAGAGAAACAGCTTTTAGATACCTCCTGTTGGTGCCTAAGTTGGGCTCCACACACACAAAGATGAGTTTATTCTGCCGATATCCCATCCCGGGGCGTGGCTTGTGCTGAGAGGGCGGCGTGAGCTCGGAGCTGTGTTGTTCAGAAGGAGGGGTCAGTCGTAGAGTGCGGGGCAGGTAGACTTGGGGTGGGGGTGCCCCCCAAGGGGAGGGCAGGGTGGGTTCACAGCTCCCCATGGCTTTCACAGGCCTGATCCTGAGAAGTCGTGATACACAGAAACCCCCTGGGTTGCTGTGTAGAAGCGCGTGTGGAGCAGAAGCCAGCGGGCAGGCAGTCGTGGGGCCTCGCGGGGTGGAGGCGTCATCTTGGGGAGGCCCCTGTGAAGCGGCCGCTCGTGGGTTGAGCTGGGAGGGGAGGTGGTGACCCCAAATGGAGACCAGGGGTCTGGGAGCGCCGTGCACACAGTGGTCTTGAACTTGCCCCTGGTCAGAAGTCGGGTCACAGAAGCGAACACACTGTCCCATGTTCTTTGCGCGGAGAACAGCCGCCCTGCAGAAGCTAAGCCAGCGGGCAGAGCTCTTGCGGGGGGACGCGGGGAGGGGGGCATTGTTGATGCCGGGGCCCGTGGCCTCTGCCTTCCTGGAGCAGCTCACAGCCCTAGTGGCTGGGCTGGTATCCTCTTCCATTCTGCCTGGAGCCACGATGAGAGTTTTCGGGGTTAAGGTGGAAAACGGGAATCCTCCAATGAAAGGGGATTACTATTTTAGCTTTTTTTGTTGTTCTCAAAACTGCTCTAGGTCAGTGGAGGAAAGAGAGGTTCTTTCATGAGAGACATTCGTATGGAAGGCGACTTGGCCACTTGTGGTCCAGGCCGCTCGCTGTGCTGAGGACCCTGAGCTCAGGAAGGCTGTGGGACTTGCCCTGAGCCACCCAGGGAGCTGGGGGCAGGACAAGGCTGGCCCGTGGGCCTGTCTTGCAGCCCAGGTCTGCTCCGCCCCCTTCTGTTCCTCCCAGGGCTTGCCACCTTCGTGAGTTCTATAAGCAGCTGGTGGGTGCGTGCTGGATGGCACAGTCGCATTGAGGCAGAGTCATGGGGAGGCTGTAGCTCCGTGTGGGTTTCCAACAGGCTCTGAGTGGACACCTTTCACCACTACTAAGGGAGAACCCTGTGTCCACATGGTCTTAAAATGATCATCCAGTTCTTGGTTGGGCCAGGGCCCAGGAGAGGACTCTGCAGAGACACCCAGGGGGAGAGTGACTGTGTTCCGTTATGTCAGGACAGCTGCAAGGTGTCAGGCAGAAGTCGCTGGATGAAGGCCCCCCGCCCATCCTGCCCGTGGAGACTCTGCAGCTGCTGTCCTTGCCGGAAGGAAGGGTGGGGCTGCTCCAGGGACAGGGGACACGCCCGGGGAGGGGATGACTGGGAGCTGAATTGAGATCTTCCTTCTGGGGGGCCCTGCACGTCCCCTGTGCCTCCGAGTGCATCAGAGAAATGCCCGCGGGTAGGAGAGGGTTCTCTGCAGGTCCACACAGCCTGGCTGGCCGCGCCCCCCGCAACCCGGCTTTGCCCGGCCCACCCAGCTCTCACCTGCCCCTCAGCCAGTGGGTGCTATGCCAGCATCAGCCAGGTCTGCTCTACAAACAGTCCAAGACTTGCTCGCGGGCCCCTGAGCAAACACTGCCGTGTCCTCTGTTCGCCTGTCCTCAGGGCTTGGGTCCCCCAGTCGTACTGTGTAAACTCAGCTGTAGTTCCCAGGAGATGTGCACTTCACGTTTTTCTTTCTTCCCCACCCCATTTCTGTCTGTTTGGGCCAGCCCCCAAGCCTCTCAACTGTCCACCGTCTCCTCCTCTGGACCCCTGCAGGCCACCCAGTGGGAGTTTTGAAACCTTGGACTAATCGTGTCATCCTGTGCTGAGTCAGCTGAGGGCCTCTGACAATCTTGTCTCAGTTGGATTTTCCAACTTCTCCCTCTAAGTTACTAGATGGAGATGCAGGTTGAGTTCACCACCTCCCCCCCTAGTTTTGTCCCCAGCACTGAGCACAGAGCCTGGGATACCACAGCTCAGTAAGCCCTTGTTGACTGAATGGTTACCGTAAGCAAATTGCAGCTTCTCTGAGCCTCAGGTTCCCCACCTGTGAAATGGGCTCATACTTAAAATTACTTTGTTTTCCTTAAAATTGAGGATAAAATTATGAAACATTAAGGACATTGCCTGCTTCACAATTTATGCTCAGTAAATGGCCTCTATTATTCATTTGTTCACCTGAAAAAAACCTAAGCACGCTGACATAGTCAGCCAGACAGATGGCTGACACAGATAATACCTATACTAGGAATAGAGAAACTGATGAAAGGGAAGTTCCCCAGGAGCCAGGATGGAGGGTTTCCTGGAGGCAGCATAACCTGGGCAAGTTGGAAGGACTTCCTGGTCATTTCTCGGGCCCCTCCCAGCTCTAATGTTTGCTGACTCTGTGACGTGTTCAGCAACAGAACAAAGTTTTTGGTGGATGTTGCAGAAAGATTATCGGTTCAGTTCAGTTGCTCAGTCATGTCTGACTCTTTGCAACTCCATGGACTGCAGTACACCAGGTCTCTCTGTCCATCACCAACTCCCAGAGCTTACTCAAGCTCATGTCCGTCGAGTCGGTGATGCCATCCAACCATCTCATCCTCTGTCGTCCCCTTCTCCTCCCACCTTCAATCTTTCCCAGCATCAGGTCTTTTCAAATGAGTCAGTTCTTCACATCAGGTGGCCAAAATATTGGAGTTTCAGCTTCAGCATCAGTCCTTCTAATGAACATTCAGGACTGATCTCCTCTAGGATGGACTGGTTGGATCTCCTTGCAGTCCAAGGGACTCTCAAGAATTCTTCTTCAAAACCACAGTTCAAAAGCATCAATTCTTCGGCACTCAGCTTTCCTTTTAGTTCAACTCTCACATCCGTACATGACTACTGGAAAAACTATACCTTTGACTAGATGTCTCGATTGTTTTAATCCAGCCACAAAAGATCAGGTGACATTCAGTCGAGGTAGGGGGGCGGGAGACACTCTTGGCATCTGTCACCACGTCAGGGGCGTCTGGAGCTCTTGGGCCTGTGTGCCCACTGGAGGGCACGCACTTGGGGCGGAGGGTGGGTTCTGGCGTCAGTGTCTGTGGGGCCGGGTCAGCTGTCGGCAGCGTCTGGACGTCTCATCTCCCCTCCCGCTGGCAGCCCTTGTTGCTCCTCGAGTGCCCTGTTCCCCCCCCCGCCGGTTACAGACGGAGGCCTGCAGCAATGAGAGGAGCAGTGGAAGTCCCCACAGAAGTGTGACCGGAGCAGAGAGGCCCCCTTGGGCAGCACCACCCTTCCCCGTCCTAGAGAAGGCAGTGGACACTGGCCCCCCTTCAGCCAGGCCTCCCTGCCTGCCCTTCTGCAGCGGCTGGGACTCAGGAGACGCCTGGTCCCCACACTGTGGGATGCGCGGGCGCTTGCAGCTGCCCCCTCGTCCTGAGCCCGGAGCTGTGCCTGTCGGGTCGGCCTCAGGCCGTCCTCGTGGAATCGCGCGCACGCTCACCATCACGCTCTTGTAAGAAGCCTTAAAGAGTTCTTTCTTCAGGTTCGGAACAAAGGTGTTCTCAAAACATCAAACGGAACTTTCCAGGTTGTTCAGATACAGTAACTTCTCCTCATGACATGATAAGTGGGAACAAACAAGCAAGAAAAATGAAAGGGCCCTGGCATTGCCTCACGGCGGGCACCGAGGCGACCAGGGCCAGCCTGCGCCCGGGCCTGGCTGCCCCTTGCTGCCCCCTGGTGGCGGCCGTCTGCTCGGGCTGGCCGTCTCGGGGCGGATGGGGCCTGTGTTGGCAGTGATCCCATCACAGACTGGCCGTGTGTGTGTGTCTGTGTATGTGTGTCTATGTGTGTGTGTCTGTCTCTGCCTCTGTGTGTGTGTCTGTGTGTGTGTCTGTCTCTGCCTCTGTGTGTGTGTGTGTGTGTGTGTGCGTGGTGGAGGGGGGAGCGGGAAGAAGACTTCCAGGGGCCATGGGGCCTGCCCTGGCTCCGGAGGCCTCAGATGGGCCGCCTGCTGTGTCTCTGCATGGTCTCTCCCTGCCCAGGAAGTAGGAATGTGGGCCACCTCTTGGGATCGGCCGGTGAGCCTGGCAGGGGAAGTCACGAGCCAGATGTGGGCTCGTTTCCGTGGCGTTTGCTGTTTACAGAGACAGGCCTCTTACCCGCTTTGGTTCTCATTTCTCTTTTCCCTTTTGGGCACTGTACCTAAATATGAGGAAGGCGTTAAAATATGGTAATTGCCTGTGAAGTCATGCTCTAAATAAAGTGTGAATCTGTCCAGTGTAATCACTCCTCCTGTGACTCGCATGTTGAGAAATTTACAGCATTTGGTGACTCGGTTAGGGAAGAACAGCTGGCGGGCCCCTTTGCCTCTCCAGGATTTGGGTCGTTCTCTTGGCTGGCCAGGCCGTGCTCAGAAGCTGTGACACACCCCACACACACACCTCCCCAGCCCTGCACCGAGGACAGGTGTGCCCACGTGGTGATTCTGAAATCCGGAAGTCCTGCGGAAGTCCAGAGGAATCCCGCAGGTGCTCCTGACAAGGCAGACTTGCTCCAAGTCCTCCAGAAACATTTCAGCATCTCCTCCCTCACTGTCCCTCCCCACCGTCTTCGGCGTCAAGGCCAGGTCCCTACAGTAGCGTCTGAGGTTTCCTATGACCAGGCTCCTAGACATGCCAAGTGTTAGTTTTCCGCGCTCCCCGCTTCCCCTGGCCTGAAGAGCTCCCCGCACCTCTCAAGGCCCAGGTGAGGACTTGCCCTGGGTACACATGAGCCTCCTCTCTGCCAGCCCCGGTGGTCATGCCCACCCGTGCCCTGCACCCCAGAGCCCTTACAGACGTGTGCCCAAAGCCGGCTCAGGTAGTTGAGAGCCATCCCCGGCTTCGGCTTTTTTCTTCTTAATCATACACCCTGTTCTGCTGTCCATCGGCTGTCCTGTGTATCCATTCACACCCGGAATGTACACACCCTGGATCCGGTTGGCAGCTGTTTCCATGTAAGTCCAAAGACAGGCCTTCATTGTGATTGATGACTTACAGGTGATACCAAAGTCGGAGACAGTAAATAGTTCTAACAGCCATTCCTTGGATGTTCGGGTATTATATTTGACTGTATTTTTTAAGGAGAGCTTACAAAAGAATGTGTGTCAGAACTGTGACACTTACAAATACTGTTTCCCAAATGAAAACCGCAGCTCTTTCTCTGCCATCTTTCGCTCTCTGAAGAACTTCAGGTGGGTCTCTGCTGGGAGGCCGTGAACAGGGCTCATGGATCAGGGTGTGACCTCCCTCCTCGCCCTTGTGAACTTGGCTCCCCCAGCCTGTCTGCACGCCCCTTCAGTGTGTGAAACACAGGGGACTTGCTTCTCCATTTTCTCTGTAATTTTACAGATAACGGCAGCTTGTGTCGCAAAACTGAGGTTTCAGTTCCAGGTGCCTTTTGGGGTGATATATTGGGAGAACTGACATCACATTCAGAAATGTGAACATTTAAGTACTGTTATGTGTTTCCCTAGTAAACTCTTTGAGCAATTATTTATAGTCATATTTATACGGAAAAGAGGAAGCACCATTCTGGGCCCTGAAAATACGTTTGGTCTTTTAATTTTCATTTGGTTTTTGCCTTTATAGTGTTGATCCATTGCTGACAAAGTGTGTGAGGTGTCAAAGAGAAAAGTAGCAAAAAGCATGGTCCAAATTGCCTTTAGGAAGACATTTAAAAAAAAAACAGGGGTCAGAATGGATGTATTTGTTTAAAATCCCCTTGTTTGTTTTTTTGGCTGTGCTAGGCCTTCATTGCTTTGTGCAGGTTCTCTGGTTGCGGCGGGCAGGGACTGCCCGTCATTGCTGCGCTCGGGCTTCTCGTGGCGGTGTTGCATGAGAACACCGCCTCCCGTTGCAGAACACGGGCTCTGGGCGCTCAGGTCTCAGTAGTTGCAGCACGTGGTCTCACCAGTTGCGGTTCGCAGGCTCTGGAGCGCAGGCTCAGCGATCATGGCTCACGGGCTCAGCCGCTCTGGGGCCCGTGGAGTCTTCCCGGACCAGGAATGAACCCATGTCCCCTGCACTGGCAGGCAGATTCTTAACCCCTGCGCCACTAAGGAAGGAGCCTCCTTTTTGAACTGCGCATGTGTGTGATTGTGCATGTCTGTTGACCGGTGTGTGTGCACATGTGTGTGTGTGTGTGTGTGTGTGTGTGTGTGTGTGTGTGTGTATGAGTCGAAAGAGCAGCTGGATAACCTAAGGATCCCCTGATACTCTTCTTCCTCCTGACCTGCCTTCCGCATACTGCTCCCCTCGCTGCCTCCCTCTCGCTGGCGCAGTCTTTTGCTGGCCCTGTGGATGAGTTAGAAGTCATAGCCACCCGGTGATATCTGTTTTTCATTCCTTGTTACTTGTAGAAAAATGCACTGTATGTTTGTGGCAAATGAAAATGATCAGTTACTCGTCTTTGAGGAGATTAAAACATGACGACAGCTCTTCTTGTAATTCCACCGCATTCCATCCATGCTACGCTGATACAGCACAGCCCCAGAGATGTGGATGGTGGGTTTCCACGTGCGTCAGACCCAGGCCTTCAGACCTCAGCAGATCCTCCCATCAGAGGGCCGAGGAAGGGTGTGTCTGTTCTCTGGGCAGGAGTCTCATCCTGAAGACCTGCCGTCATTTGCTGGAATCCTTCCAGCAGTGGGGAGCTCACCACCTCCCCAGGCTGCCTGTTTCTTGGAAAGCTTCCCTTTGCAGATAGTTTCATTCTTCATGGGAAGCCAGAATCAGCTGCCCAGGGGCTTTTGCCCTAGCTGTGTCCTTTGCAGCCACTTGGAATGAACTTGGGCCCATTCCTGGGTGAGGCCCCTTCAGCTTTTTGAGGGCAGCTGTGCGTCCTCATCCCCTCTCTCCTTCCACCCACCAATGCCTCAGCGAGCTGTCAGACGCCCGGTCGAGCTCCGGGGTCCCGAAGGCGTTTCTGGGAGCTGGTGCTCGGCCACATCATGCGGTGCAGAGCGTTGGGCTCCAGGGAGGTCTGAGTTGTCCCGGCCCCCAGAGCTGATGGGAGCAGTCAACTCGTGGTAGCTCCTCTCGTCCCCAGGAGCCTGCGCTCAGCTGTGCTGCGTGCGGGGTTCGTTCCCGCCTCATGGCCGCCTTGGGCGTGTCCCTTCCAGGGGGCTGACGGCCGCTCTCGTTGCAGGCCGCCTGGTTCTCTCATTGCAGGCCGCCTGGTTCATTCCCTCCTCAGGTGCGTCCCTCCTGTTGGGCTGACGGCCTCTCTCATTGCAGGCTGCCTGGTTCATTCCCTCCTCGGGCGTGTCCCTTCCCGGGAGCTGACGGCCACTCTCATTGCAGGCTGCCTGGTTCATTCCCTCCTCGGGTGCGTCCCTCCTGGTGGGCTGACGGCCGCTCTCGTTGCAGGCCGCCTGGTTCATTCCCTCCTCGGGCGCGTCCCTCCTGTTGGGCTGACGGCCTCTCTCATTGCAGGCCACCTGGTTCATTCCCTCCTTGGGTGCGTCCCTCCTGGCGGGCTGACGGCCTCTCTCATTGCAGGACGCCTGGTTCATTCCCTCCTCGGGTGCGTCCCTCCTGGCGGGCTGACAGCCGCTCTCGTTGGTTGCAGGCCGCCTGGTTCAGTCCCTCCTTGGGTGCGTCCCTCCTGGTGGGCTGACGGCCGCTCTCATTGCAGGCCACCTGGTTCAGTCCCTCCTCGGGCGCGTCCCTCCTGGCGGGCTGACGGCCGCTCTCGTTGGTTGCAGGCCACCTGGTTCAGTCCCCCCTTGGGCGCGTCCCTCCTGGCGGGCTGACGGCCGCTCTCGTTGGTTGCAGGCCGCCTGGTTCAGTCCCCCCTTGGGCGCGTCCCTCCTGGCGGGCTGACGGCTGCTCTCGTTGGTTGCAGGCCACCTGGTTCAGTCCCCCCTTGGGCGCGTCCCTCCTGGCGGGCTGACGGCCGCTCTCGTTGGTTGCAGGCCGCCTGGTTCAGTCCCCCCTTGGGCGCGTCCCTCCTGGCGGGCTGACGGCTGCTCTCGTTGGTTGCAGGCCACCTGGTTCAGTCCCCCCTTGGGCGCGTCCCTCCTGGCGGGCTGACGGCCGCTCTCGTTGGTTGCAGGCCGCCTGGTTCAGTCCCCCCTTGGGCGCGTCCCTCCTGGCGGGCTGACGGCTGCTCTCGTTGGTTGCAGGCCACCTGGTTCAGTCCCCCCTTGGGCGCGTCCCTCCTGGCGGGCTGACGGCCGCTCTCGTTGGTTGCAGGCTGCCTGGTTCAGTCCCCCCTCGGGCGCATCCCTCCTGGCGGGCTGACGGCCGCTCTCGTTGGTTGCAGGCTACCTGAACGTGCTCTCCAACAGCCGCTGGCGGGAGCGCTGGTGCCGAGTCAAGGACAACAAGCTCATCCTGCACAAGGACAGGGCCGACCTGAAGACGCACATCGCCTCCATCCCACTGCGCGGCTGCGAGGTCATCCCGGGGCTGGACTCCAAGCACCCCCTGACCTTCCGGCTGCTTCGCAACGGCCAGGAGGTGGCCGTGCTGGAGGTAGGGGCCACTTGCAGGGAAAGGCAGTTAAAACTAATTTCTTCACTATACCCTGAAAGCTTTCATTTTTAAAATTTAAAATTTTTGTTAATGGGCTATTATTAATTTATTTTCTGCTTCTCTATTAATTCAAACCTTTTTCTGCTTTGTCTTTTTTTTTCACTTAGCATTATCATGAGTAAGTTACAAAGATACACCTATGTATACATATGTATACNACTTGCAGGGAAAGGCAGTTAAAACTAATTTCTTCACTATACCCTGAAAGCTTTCATTTTTAAAATTTAAAATTTTTGTTAATGGGCTATTATTAATTTATTTTCTGCTTCTCTATTAATTCAAACCTTTTTCTGCTTTGTCTTTTTTTTTCACTTAGCATTATCATGAGTAAGTTACAAAGATACACCTATGTATACATATGTATACACACATATACATATGGACACACACATATGTATACTTATTTTTCCAGTGTACATGTAACTATATTTATGTTGTACAGTTGATAGAAATCAGCATATTTTGGATTTGGTAAAATGGCCAATGTGTGGTCTAAATTTATCAGCCTGTGTGTGTTAGTTGCTCAGTCGTGTCCAATTCTTTCCGACCCCGTGGACCATTGCCCACCAGGCACCTCTGTCTGTGGAATTCTCCAGGCAAGAATACTGGAGTGGGTTGCCATTCCCTTCTCCAGGGGATCTTCCCAACCAAGGAATCGAACCCAGGTCTCCTGCATTGCAGGCAGATTCTTTACCATCTGAGCCACCAGGGAAGCCCAGTCAGATCCAAAGCCAGATTCTAAATGACCGCAGTTATTGGTCCTTTAACGGACTGGAACCTGGTGGTCCGGAGTTGACGATGAGAAAGTGAAAGAAGGAAAGAGACTAATATTCCCTGGGTCACACAGCCGGCTTTCGCGCTCCAGGGAATCAGCCAGAAATAGAGAGATAAAGAGAAAGAGAGGAAGAGAAAGAAAGAAAGACGGGGACCAAAGCTCCGATGGAGCAAAGGTGTTTTAATCAGCATGGCGTGGGCACATACACTGTAGTTATTCTCAGCAAAGGTAAAGATTAAAATTCCAGACTTAAAAATCACAAGGTGATCCCTATTAAAGAGAGAAGAGGGTACTTATCACCATAATGAGAAACTAACAAAGGAAATGCCTGGATTCCTCAGCCCCGGGAAAGGCGTGCCTCTCCTCTTAATTCCTGAATATTCAGGAATTAATAAGGGCCAAAGGTTTCCTGACAGATCCAAAACAGCGCACGGGAAGCCTCCTACTGAATGCTTCCTGACACGCAGTGATGCTGACCACTGGAGGAAACGGCCAGTTAGCCCACCTAGAAGGTCCTGGTAGGAGATAGGAGTTTGTTTCAGAGACTGCTTTTTTTTTCTTCTGGTGAGGACAAAAAATGATTAACGTCATAGTTCTTCCTCCCACAAACTCCTCACCCAGTGGTTTGGATGCTTTGAGGTCACAGGTCAAAGATCCGAGCCCACCCTGGTGGCTGACCTCACAGAGGAGAAGCAGGCCTGGCTGGGGCTGGGGTGTCTGGGCCCCCGTCTTGGTTCTGTTGCAGACTTTGATCACAACCCAATCTGTTTTCCTCTCTCGGCTTCTTTATTTGTCTGTGAAACAGAGCACCGGGCCAGGGTCGGTGTGCTCAGTAAGCGTTTTCATGGGTTGAACGCTGCGGGGCAGATGGCAGCGGAAAAAAGCTGAAAATGTAAATGAGAAAACTGTACTCTTGGTGCGGAATGCAGGTGACACCTGAGAGGCCTGGCAGCAGGTCTGACGGGAGTGCGAGGGCAGGAAGGCTTGGGCTGGCACGCGCTGGGTTCAGGGGTGGAAAGGGAGTGTCTGGCCTGGCTGCTGGGTGGAGACAGGAGACCCCGTGGGCAGGGGCAGGGAGGGGCTGGGTGAGCAGGACCCTGTCCTGTCTCTACTGCCCGCCCTGTAGGTGCAGCCTCATGTCCCCGAAAGATGGTGGTTGTGTTTCATTGTTTTTCCCTATTCCAGTTGTGGAATCAAACGCACACACTCAGAAAACTAACCACGCTCAGCGTTCCAGCATAAGCAGAGTCTGCCTGAACCAGTTAAGGAAATGCAGTGATGCAGGCAGTAAAATTGTATTCTGTACACTTGCTAAGATCATTTTATCCTAACTTTTGAGATAACTTGAGAATTATAGAAGAGTTGTGAACACAGTACACATAATTCCACATAGCCTTTACCCACATCCCCCAAATACTAACAAGGTACCACGTTTGGTATCTTGTGTGGTATCTCCCGCCTCTTTTTTCTCTCTGTATGTTTTTTTCAGGTAAAAACAGACATGTTTCCCCTCTCTCTCTAAACACTTCAGGGTGAATTTATCAAAGAACGAGAGCATTCCCTTACCAAAACCACTCCATAATCATCAAAACAAGGGAATTCAATTATCTGACTCTCAGATTTTAATCAGACTCCCCCAGTTACCCCAGGAATGCCCCTTGGAAGCAGAAGGAAACCCTAGGTGATATGTTGCCTCTTTGGCTCTCCCGATCTGGTTTCACGACATTGATACGGGGCGTGGTACAGAGCAGTTATCATGTAGAGGACCCCTCAGTCTGGGGGTATCTGCTGTTTCCCCGGAAATCCACATCTGAGGTCAGCACGCTTGGCAGGGCCCATGGAAGCAGTGGTGTGGTGTGCGGTACATCACGTCAGCCAGTACAGCCGCCAGTCTGCCCCACGACTGGTGGTGTTAGCTCTGACCCTGTGGGTGGGGCGTCTGCACGGCTTCCCCACTGCGGAGTTACCGGAGTTACCGTGCTTCCCGTTTGTCTTTAACAAGCTTCATGTGGGAAGATTCTCTGAGATATCCTACCACTCACAGTTTCACCCGCTGACTTTTAGCATTCATGAATGAGTCTTGCCTGAAACAGCTGTTGAATGACGACTTCCTAATCCCATGATTCCCTCTACATTTGTTAGTTGGTATCTACTGTCAGGGAGATTTCCCTTCCTCTCGTCTCATTGGTTAGTCATTCATTCATTCATGTATGTTTGTATATCAGCAGGGGTTCAGAGATATTGTTTTAATCAATGAGTATAATCCTGTATTGCCAGGATTTGTCCTGGTCAGATCAGGGAAAGCCCTTAAGCCGTGTGACCCCTGCTGTGTCCCAGAATAAAGACGCTGCAGTTGCCACTGTCCTGTGAGCTGTTTCCTCACATGATGCACCAAGACATTCCAGGCTCATCTCGGACTTTCCCCTGCCCCGGGCCTGCTGGAATCAACCCCGTCCAGAGAGCTCTAGAGGACTCCTCCTGGTGGATGGTGGTACTTGGAAGCCAGGATCTGGGTGGCAGGTGTGCCCTGACTTACTGGGGTGTCATAGGAAATGGTGTGTATGTATGTGTTTATACATACGCATGTCCAGGCATGTTTTCATGCATATTACACACACGTACATGCACATGTACACGTATAGCAGCAGTAGTAGTGTTAGCCGCTCAGTCGTGTCCGACTCTCTGTGACCCCACGGACTGCAGCCCGCCAGACTCCTCTGTCCATGGGATTCTCCAGGCAAGAGTACTGGAGTGGGTTGCCATTTCCTTCTCCAGGGGATCTCCCTGACCCAGGGATCGAACCCAGGTCTCCTGCATTGCAGGCAGATTCTTTACTGTCTGAGCCGCCAGGGAAGCCCATACATGTATACACTCGCATCTCAAACCTGAAAGTGAAAGTCGCTCAGTCATGTCAGACTCTTTGTGATCCCGTGGACTATACAGTCCATGGGATTCTCCAGACCAGAATACTGAGTGGGTAGCCTTTCCCTTCTCCAGGGGATCTTCCCAACCCAGGGATCAAACCCAGGTCTCTTGCATTGCAGGCAGATTCTTTATCAGCTGAGCCACCAGGAAAGCCCAATCTCTACCTATTTATCTACTAAAAGCCACAAGATTGTAATTAATATTCTAAATTCAGTATAACACCACTGAGATAGTTATTAAAAGTCTGAGGAAATTTCTGAACAATGAGGAAAATAGTTAAGAGTGTAAGAGTATCCACAACATCTTAGATATTGTGTTAAAATGCTTTTAAGAATACTTAGATTAAATAATGATGAATGCATGGCTAGAGGATCAGTCACAGATACATTCTTGACATAGGTTTTTGTTTGGGGAAGGGCAGAAGACCAGTGAAGAGAACCTATTTGTGATTTTTTTCTAGTACCCAGGTGTTCATTAACTTGGCAAGCGTTGGTTACATTCCTGCTCTCTGTGAGGCGCACAGTTGGGACCCCTTCCCTCTGTCCCGTGGCCACATGCGACACTGGCCAGGCACGGTCTGTCGCTTGTACAGTATTGCTGGTCAGTTCTATCAGCGCACGGAGGAGAACTTGTCCCCCCTCAACCGCTCTTTCTCCCAAGAGGTTTTGTGCCTGCCACGAGGCATACATGCTTAGTTGTATCTGACCCATGTTCGGCTCGTCCAGGTTACAGTGTTGAAAGCCCAGTTTTCTTTAAGGGTTTAGGCTCAACTCTCACATCTTTCTTTATATAAAAATTTTGTAACTTTTACAAAAACTTTAAAAATAAATTTTTTTTACACTCAGGTACCTCATAACTATGTTTTCCATAAACTTTAAGCATTACTCACATATTTGAATACCGAAAGTATTTAGGCATTTGAAATGCTATTATGAGTAATGTAATCGATCTTCTGAATCACATAACAGGGACAGCTTAGAATTTTAATGCACTGAATCTTAAAGATCTATTTCAGACTTGTAAATCGGGCAGATGACATTTGGGGAGCATTTGAAACTTCCTAAAAAGATAGCACGCACAAAGCAGCCCAATGCTTGTCAATACAACGACAACTGTATCCACACAACTACTATGAAAATGGAAGTGGGTTGCTTTACTGTACCGTCTAGTCAGGGTGATAAAATTGCTATTGCAGGCCCACGTCAGAGACCACAACAAGGGCTCCTGGTCAGCAAAATTGGTGCCCACAGTGGCCGAGACCTGACGCGCTGTCCAGGTTAGGCACCTGTGGTTGGAGGGGCTCCTCCTGCTGCCCAGATTTTATTTGCCAGAGTGAGGAGGCTTTCTGAACAGCTTCCTGTGGCTGAGATTTCAATAACCCCATTAGCCCCCACGTCTTGCGCCCTCGTGCCTTTCCCAGAATAACCGGGGGCGTTTAGTGCCTCCGGTTCCTCTTTCCTGGGCGTGGTCCTCATGCAGCTTCTGCCGTGAGGCTCAGCGTGGACGCGGTGCTGAGCCCGTGACGCAGGCGCAGCTGCATCCTCGCCGTCTACATCTGCACGTGCCCGTGCTGCCGTGCCTTTCCTGTCGTGCTGTCTCTTTACTGACACGTCTATGAAAATGTGGAAACCATGCTGCTACTTACATAACATGCTCTTTCCGCCTCTGCCCTCGCCAGGCATCTTCTTCTGAAGACATGGGCAGATGGATTGGGATTTTGCTGGCCGAGACGGGGTCCTCGACAGACCCCGGGGCCTTGCACTACGACTACATAGATGTGGAGATGTCGGCGAACGTCATCCAGACGGCCAAGCAAACCTTCTGGTAAGATCCTCTGCCGTGAGGAACGGCACTGAAGTTAAACGACTTCATTTTTTTCTGTAATTTCTTCCCTTTTATGTAAGTATATAGCCTTAAAGGGGGAAGAAAAGAAAAACTTACTAAAGACTCTCCTTTTTTGTATTAGCGCAGATTCTGGTGAAATATTTGTCATTTCAACCATCTGTGTTTTGTATTAGAACAGGGGTTGGCAGGCTTTTTGTGCAAAAGGCATGACAGTGATATTTTTGGCTTTGCAGACCAAGTGTTCCCTGTTAAAACTGCTCAGCTCTGCCGTTACAGTCACACACATAAATGAATGGACATGGCTGTGTGCCAATAAAACTTTATTTGCACACACAGGCAGCGGGCCATATCTGACCCGTGGACTATAGTCTGCTGACCCCTGTATTAGGGAAAGTTCTATAAAGCAGAAATAATTCTCCTTATTGTATAAGTGAGGACTGCATTTTCAAAGCCATCAATCATATCCTTTTAAAACTTCAATGTGATTTTTTTTAAGGGCTGTTATGCATAAAAACATTTAAACAATGAGTATTTCTTTCAGATAATCATGGCCAGGATAATTAATGCAGCAATTCTCAAAGTGTGGTCCACAGACACCTGTGGGTATTCAAAACTCTTTTTAGGCAGTCCCAAAGGTCAAAACTGTTTCCATAATGACGCTAAGAAATTATTGTTGTTCTTTGCAACAGACCCCGGGGCCTTGCACTACGACTACATAGATGTGGAGATGTCGGCGAACGTCATCCAGACGGCCAAGCAAACCTTCTGGTAAGATCCTCTGCCGTGAGGAACGGCACTGAAGTTAAACGACTTCATTTTTTTCTGTAATTTCTTCCCTTTTATGTAAGTATATAGCCTTAAAGGGGGAAGAAAAGAAAAACTTACTAAAGACTCTCCTTTTTTGTATTAGCGCAGATTCTGGTGAAATATTTGTCATTTCAACCATCTGTGTTTTGTATTAGAACAGGGGTTGGCAGGCTTTGTGTGCAAAAGGCATGACAGTGATATTTTTGGCTTTGCAGACCAAGTGTTCCCTGTTAAAACTGCTCAGCTCTGCCGTTACAGTCACACACATAAATGAATGGACATGGCTGTGTGCCAATAAAACTTTATTTGCACACACAGGCAGCGGGCCATATCTGACCCGTGGACTATAGTCTGCTGACCCCTGTATTAGGGAAAGTTCTATAAAGCAGAAATAATTCTCCTTATTGTATAAGTGAGGACTGCATTTTCAAAGCCATCAATCATATCCTTTTAAAACTTCAATGTGATTTTTTTTAAGGGCTGTTATGCATAAAAACATTTAAACAATGAGTATTTCTTTCAGATAATCATGGCCAGGATAATTAATGCAGCAATTCTCAAAGTGTGGTCCACAGACACCTGTGGGTATTCAAAACTCTTTTTAGGCAGTCCCAAAGGTCAAAACTGTTTCCATAATGACGCTAAGAAATTATTGTTGTTCTTTGCGTTTGCATCAGTGATGCAGAAGAAACCAGGGACGGGGGGTAAGTTGGCAGGTACCTTAGTACCTTCTTAAGTGGTCGCTTAACACAGTGCTGCGATCGGTGGTGATGTTAAGTGTGATTTTTGATATTGTGTCATGAAGTGTGTGCATTTGGAAGGTCTGCCTCAGTCACGCACAGGTAAAAGATCCCTCCCACAAGTATTATAAATGAATGGGTATTCATGTCAAAGCGGGCAAGCAAGTTCATTGATACAGTTTCAGATTCTACATGGCAACTAATCATTAAGAAATTACCACTCATTGAGTTTTGGTGTAGTATCAAAGAATATCTTCCATGACCTGGAAAAGCTGTTAAAATACACCTCACTTTTCCAACTAAATATCTGTAGGAGGCTGGATTTTCTTTGCCTACTTCAACCGAAACAACATATTACAACTGATTGAATGCAGAAGCAAGTGTGATAATCCATTGTCTTCTACTGAGCCAGACATGGAATAGATTTACAAGCATATCAAACAGCACCATTTTTCTCATTTTTAAAAATTTTAAAAAGGTATCATTGACATTGATAAAAATATGTTGAAATACAGTGGATTTACTCATATTTTTGAACGAATAAAGGTGAACACATTCCTGAGTCTCAGTTGCAAGCACCGTCAGCCTCGATAGTGAACACCCACGCAAACCAAAGCTCTTCGGCTTCTTCAGTCACTCTGCAGGGTGTAGAGACGCAAAGCTCGGGAGGCCTTCTCGTCGGCCGGAACGCGTCTGTGAAATGGAAACGCAGCTGGTTGCTGTTCCGTGCCGTGCGCTGTGCAGAGCAGGGGTTGGGCGCCCTTTTCTGTGACGGGCAAGTCAGCGGGCACTTTCAGCTTTGCAGAGCACGTGTTCCCCAGCACGACCACCCTCCTTTGTCACCGTGCTCCGCTCTCTGTGGTCAGGCAAAAGCAGCAGCAGAGTCCTGGAGCCAGTGGGCGTGGCCATGCCCGGCCGGAGTTGGCTGGGTCCTTTGCGTAAAGTAAGGCCCGTGAGTTTACGACGGAAGGAGCACTTGGCCAGGAGGAAGGGCCCTGGGTTCTGTCCTGCTGCAGCAGGTGCTAAACGGAAAGGTTTGGGACATGTCCTTCCTAACCTCTCAGTGTCCAGCTTCTTTTTGTAGAACACAGAGTTTAGGTAACATGATGTCTGAAACTTTGGGCTGTTGTAGCTCTGATCCCTGGATTCCTGCTTCTGTCTCTCTCATCCTCGGAGAATCTGGACTGGGACTCGAGGGAAGCGGATTGAAAAAGAGCAGGTGATGGAGTTGTATGATCAGCAAGTGATGATAAACATACCAACAACTGTTGACAAGCCCACCCAGGCCCTTGAAGACTCTGAAATCCTTTGATAAAGTCAAAGATAAACTCAGATGTTTGCACTAGTTCTGTTTAACATCAACACCACCACCTAGCTTCTCCACACAAGTGGTGTTTGTGGGGGACTGGAGCAGTCCTGAATGGGGTTGTGGGATGAATGCTTGGCCAGGGAGAAGGCGATGGCACCCCACTCCAGTGCTCTTGCCTGGAAAACCCCATGGACGGAGGAGCCTGGTGGGCTGCCGTCTATGGGGTCGCACAGAGTCAGACACGACTGGAGCGACGTAGCAACAGCAGCAGCAGGGGACCCAGCAGAGTAAAGATAACGTCAGCCTGGTTTAGGAATCGGGCTCCCCTGGTGGCTCCCTGGTAAAGAATCTGCCTGCGATGCAGGAGACCTGGGTTCGATCTCTGGGTCAGGGAGATCCTCTGGAGAAGGAAATGGCAACCCACTCCAGCATCCTTGCCTGGAGAATTCCATGGAGAGAGGAGCCTGGCGGGCTACAGTCTGTGGGGTCACAAAGCACTGGACACGACTGAGCGACTGAGCGTGCACATATTAGGAATCAAGCCACCATGTTCCACCCAACGAAGGTAAATGGCCTTGACAAAGTGAGGCCGTCCTATGCAGCTTCACCGGACCATCCCCAGGAACATTAGAGGGTTTCTGAGGTACAGACTGCCTGTACGCCCTCACTTCTGTTGTTTGGAAACCAGGGTGACAGTGATTGCATGCTCACTGTTCTGTTCATTCTTGTTATTTTTTCCCATAAGAAGATTCTGTCTAATTAGGAAAGTGTAAGTAAACTACAGTGAGTCTCTTAATTGTATAGTAAATAAAGCACATTAAAGGAGCTTTTTAAGAAGCATAATATCCTTAAGTCCAGTTTTGCAAAATGTTCGCTTATACAGTGACATAAAAGAAAGGAGTTCATGGTTGTTAACTGTACTGTTTGGACGTTATTAGTTTCTAAAAGCCTCTCCTACATCTACATGTAACTTCAACAATAATAAGCAAACTGGTAACAACATTTAAGAGAAATCTTGACTAAAAATATTTCCCCTAGGACCCAGATGAGTGGAATATTCATCTGAACCAACTATGAGAAGGTCACATTTTCGAAAAAGGAACATAGATTGCAATTTTGAAAATTGATTTATTAAAAATATGCACAAGTTTATAGCTATGAGAATCTTTGCCGCACCATTAAAAGCTTTATTGGCGATGTCACTTAGCAATAAAGTTTATTCTTATTTATTAGTTTTCTATTAAACCTTCTATAACAGTTAAGAGAGAAGAGATTTAACAAGGAAACAGTGTTCAAAATATAAAATATGGTAGCCTGCCAGTGTAATAAATAATCCAAGATTAATTTCTGCCTTTATGTAACTGGCAGCTAGTTAGCCAATCTTTTCGAGGTCATTAGGGGAATTTTCTGTGCATTGATTATGTCTGAAGGAGAAGGGCAATGATATATTTTGGGATGAGGACGCCAGAAGAAAGGAGTCTCAGGTCTCCTAGAAAAAGCGGTCTGTTTAAGAGTGTTAGTAACAGTAAAGAGTCGAAGCATTCTTTCCCGTGGCCTGTTTTTAAATAAGACCCGATATATATGATACATTACATGGCAGGTGTTCTGAAAGTTTCTTTTGGAACTCCTTTCAAGTCACGCTGGGTAGGAGCCCGTAACAAAGCTGTGACAGCGCTGGTGACGATGAAAGCTGTAGATTAGTGTGGACACAGGGGGGGCAGGCAGACTGGCGGGAAGCTGTCACCTCCAGCCAGCCTCTCATCTGAGTCCCCAGGAGATCTTACTCTAAAATGCAGTTCCTGAAAACACAGGTGAACCTTTGAAAGTGTTACGTCGTTGTAAGAAGCGGATGAGTTCTGGAGACGGGTGGCGGTGCGGGCTATGCCACAAGCTGATGTGCCTCGGGCCCAGAACTGGGCCCTGAAAAGTGGTTAAGGTGGTGGCATTCTGTTATGTGCATTTTACATATATATATGTATATCCTAAAGAACCTGCCTGCAAATGCAGGAGACAAGGGTTCAATCCCTGGGTCAGGAAGATCCCTGGAGGAGGGCATGACAACCCCCTCCAGGATTCTTGCCTGCAGAATCCCCATGGACAGAGGAGCCTGGCGGACTACAGTCCATGGTGTCACAAAGAACTGAACACAACAGAAGCGACTGAGCATACACATATATTTCTGTATCTTCTGTTTTGGTTTTAACAAGTGGCATGTGGCCTCTTATCCCATTTCTGTGTTTCTATGGGGTTAAGAAACGACTGCAGGAAGAGTGTCTGGCCAAAAGGGGAGGGACCTTGTATTTAGTCTTGGATCCCAGAGACCTAGCCGGGGGGCCCAGGTCCCTCCCTGAGAGATGACGGGCAGCCTGGCTGGTGGCCGAGATCTCTTCCAGCTGGGACAGGACATCCTGAGTGTCTGTGACCTCCTGTTGGGTCCTGTGGTGCAGAGCGAACTGCTGGTGTCTGTTCCCGGGGGGGGGGGGGGNGGGGGGGGGGGGGGCACGCAGGGGCTGGAACCTGGGGACCCAGACCGCCCCGGGCAAAGCGTCTGTCTCAGAGCAAGGGACAGCCCTGGTGTCAGTGCCCATGGGTATTGGCAACCCGTGGGGCCGGGGGGTCATCCGATGGCCTGCCTCTCATCACCAAACCTTCACCCCCAAAGTACCCCCAAATGGGGTATTCAAACCAGAAAACCTTAAATGTGTATCTGAAAGCACATCAAATCTGTCTTTCTTGTATTCTTTTTTTCCTATACATTGCTGTTATTTCATCGCCAAGTCGTGTCCGCCTCTTTTGCGATCCCATGGACTGTAGCCCGCCAGGTTCCTATGTCCACGGGATTTCCAGAATACTGGAATGGGTTTCCATTTCCTTCTCCAAGGGATCTGTCTGACCCAGGGCTTGAACCCATGTCTCTGGCATCTTTTCCTAAATATATGTTAAAGCATCTTAAGTACAGAGCAGTCATATGCGTTTTTGCATCAGAAGAAGAGTTACTGTGTGAGATACCTGTGTCCCGGGTGGGACTCTCTCTGCGTTCTGTGTTCTCCCAGCAGAGGGCAGCACTGCACCCGAGCCGCCTTCCCGAGCTCCAGCCGGGAGGGTGGGAAACGCAGCTTTATCCCCCGGGCGAATCCCATACAGCCCCTTCCTCTCATTCTCTCAGGAGCCAGGAATCCCAGGGCAGCTTTGTGGCAAGTGTCTGAGAGGCAGGTCTCCCCTTCCCACTTCCTGCCCGCAGTTTTGCTCATTAGCCCTGTTTTTTTTTTTTACATTCATCTAGTTACCATAGAAATGTAAGATCCCAAGAAAAAGCAAAATTTGGAAAAAAAAGTTTTTTTTGGTTTTAAATTTCAGGCCACCTTAGTTTTTCCATTTGGGAAAATTGGAAAATCTCTAGGGTAATTGTTCCCCAGGCCTTGAGGTTTTTCACCTGGACCATGAGCAGACCGTTCACACGTTCCTTCCTTCCCTGCTTCCTTTTTTCGTGCGGGTCGTATTTGTTGAGCAGCTCTTACCGGCTGGCTGTCACCCCGGCACATGATGGGTGGAGCTGGCAGAGGCCATCGTGTCCTCCTGAAGCTGCGGTTCCGGTGGGGAAGGCGGACATCACTGTGTCACGTGTCAGGGGGTGATTAGTGGTAGGAAGGAGCAGGGGACAGCAGAGGGGGAAGGGGATGCTGTTTACTTCAGGTGATCGGGAAGGAGGGGTCTCAGAACTGCAGGCAGAGAGCTGCTGGGAGCCTGCGGTGCAGAGCAGGAGGGGTGGGGGAGGTGAGGGGAGTGGGCTCGGTGCTCGGAGCCTCGCAGGTCACCAGCACTCGTGTGGGTGACATGGCCTGCCCTGCCTCCCGAGGGCTGGGGGTGGCCGCCCTCAGGCTCCCAGAAGTTCAGGGTGTGGAGGGCGGAGGGGAGGGAACAAACACCCAGAGCTCAAGAAAGGCTGTGGGATGGACGTTCTAAGGTGCTTATAGAACAAGGTCCATGAACTTGCCCTGAGAAGAGCCGGAGATACTTCGGTTTTGCAGGCCAGGTGGTCTCTGCCTTCCAGAATTACCAGGTTCATGAAAAAGGCATGTGGAAAAAAAGGAGATACAGACAGTTTATCAGTGAAGGGTCCAGGTAAAGGTGTTCCGGTGAAGTTTTATTGGCAGCAGCAGGCTGAGCCCCTGCTATAAATGCTGAACGCCGGGTTGTTTGTGGCACACCAGGCGTGTGCGGGGCCGCCCTCCGAGTCCCCGGCAGGATCGTCCCCGGTCTGTGCTGCAGTCCCAGGAGCAGGTGACGTCCCGTCCTGCAGGTGAGGGTCCGCCCTGATGGCTGTAGAACACCCAATCCTGCCCGGGTCCCGACGTTTCTCCACCCGCAGCCCTGGGCAGAGCCCAAGCACCTGTCGGTACTCCCAGAAGGCTCAGTGATCCACCGGAGGTCGTAACCCGCTTCCTCTCTTTCAGCTTCATGAACCGGCGTGTTCTGTCCACTAACCCCTACGTGGGGAGCACCTCCAACGGCTATGCTCACCCCAGCGGGACGGCCCTTCACTATGATGATGTCCCCTGCATCAGCGGCTCGGTGAGTGTGGCGGGCAGAGCTGGGGGTCGGCTGTGCTGGAAGGCGGGCGCCCGCGGGTCCCTGTGACTTCCCCTCCGTTCGGCCTAAACGAGAGAGGCAGGATGAAAACCGCACCCCACCTCTCTCGTGTTTGAAACCCCCTTCACCTTAATCCACACGTGAACACGAGGGTCATCGGCACCAGAAGCCGGTTTGTCATTCGCTTCAACACCATTAACCAAACACCGTCGGAAATCTCCATCAGAAGGGAGACGTTGCTGCAGGGTAACGACTGAAACGCCAGCTCCGGACACATTCCCACGTCCTCAGGGTAGCTGGGACTCCTGTCGGTGGAGGAGAAGCCGGCCTGCCGGCCTGGGCTGCAAGGCCATATTCGAGTGCAGATTGAGATGAAAGGGGCTCCGTGTTAGGTCGTGGGTGTCAGGGTGCGGGCAGGCTTGGAGATCCTGTCCCAGCTGCAGAGCACAGCGGTAGGGAGTCTGGCCTGAGTCCAGGGTGGCCTGGGGTGGGCGGGACACAAGTCCTGTCCCACCCATCAGGCCTGGCCATTTGCCTTCTTGCCCCCCATCCCCACTCCACCTTCAGCTGGGGTCTCCAGGACTGGAGGGGCTCTGGTGTGCACTGTGACCGTAGCTGCCCGCTCTGCAGAGCGGGAGCCAGGACCTCTGGGAAAGCCCGTGGTGGCCCCCACAGGAGCAAGTTCCAGGCCAGGCACTGGGCCCTTTCCCAGGCGGCCCAGCTCTCGGGGTCCACTTGCTAGTCTTGGGGGCACCTCCCCTGCCATCATAGACCCAGCCGCGCCTCATCCGTGCGGGACATTCTGCTCCTCTGAGCCTTTGGCCTCAGCCCCAGCTGTTTTGAAAACACACAGCCCTGCCCATCTCACTGCCCGAAGGCCCCCTTATGAACCTTATCCCCCCAGAGGGGTTTCTCCCAGGGCACGTGGTGGGCGGAGCGGTGTAAAGAAAGCCAGGCCTTCACAGATGCCCATCTGGGTCCCCTGTCCCATCGGTCCAGTTAATGCCATGCAGGTTCGGGTACCCTAGGAATGGGCTTTTTTTAGGGCACACACAGTTCCCACTGGCCCAGAGCTGAGAAGCTGCCGGCTCCAGACTCCGCACCGAGGAGGCATTTCTGCGTGTGTATCACTGGGCGGGCAGCGTGAGAGATGCAGCCAGAGCGTCCCGCATTCAGGGGCTTCTGACTCGCTTGCTTGTTAAGGGCTTCCTTGGAGTTCAGGCCTCTTTTCAGACTGTCGTTCCCCTTCCTGGGCTCTGTGACCAGGCCCTCTGTTTCGGAGGAGCTTTCACTCCTCAGCTTGACAAAGTTTATACTTTTGAGCCACAATCCCTGACATTTTAGCAGTGTTTCAACTTCAGTAATTCTTTCCTTTCACGTTCTCCCTGAGGCCTAGATGAAAGTGCATCTCGAAAACGATCTTCTGACAGGCGCACATGCACTTTTAACCTGCAGATGCTGTGGAGTTTGTTTTCCAAGCTTTCCATGTGACCTAATCCTTTGGTATTTTAGGAAGAGGATGGTCCCGTCTAGACCGTCTTAATAACCCGGGACAAATATGTGCTAGGTTGTCATTATGAAACGCTCACATCCACGTTTATCTGCATGTACTGTTATTTTTAGATTATAGATGTGTCCCCAGCACACAAAAATAGACGCACTGAAGTGACTGCAGCGGAACAAAAACATTCCTACAGTGAAATTTTAAGCCTTTTCTATTTTTATAACAAAAGGCCGTAATTGCATTCTGGCAGAAAGGAACTCTGCCAGGATATAAAAATAGACTAAAATAAGTATAGTACATGAATTAATATTTTCTCTCTCTTTTTTTTTAAAATGCAAAGCAATTTATAAAGACCTTTAAAACTTAAAAGAATCTGGCCATGGTTGTGAGTTTGGGTTTTAATTTATACTTTAATGTCCATGTTCTAAAGTGGCTTGTAGCTATTTTAATCCTTTGTATAAAGGTTTTCCACTGAAGTAATGCCATTGTATCAATTATAGTTTGAAGCATCCTATTTTCTATGATGATTTGACTTCTTTCTTGTAACAGCCTGTGATTTTGGCCGCTGTGCTTTCTTCAGGCCTAACCAAGTGTGGGACGCGGGAGATGCTGGCAGTCATGTGACCCACAGAGCCCACACCCCCGAAGCCCTCATGGCAGGCTTGGAAGGGTCGGCGGGTGGTCTGCGCCCAGCCCCTCCTGGCCTGGGGGAGCCTGAGGTGCAGACGCTGAGGGCCGTAGTTACGGGCACGGCTCTCAACTCCGGCTCTGCTTGATACAGCTCCTCCTGATCCCGTGCCTTAGTTTCCCCTCCTCTGTAAGACTCCTGGCAGAATTCCCTGCATCGTGCATCAGTTTTACTGTGGAATAAGATAAAGTGCTTCGCTGGGATCTTAAACTCATTATTGACCAGGGGATTTTTTTTCGGAAACCAATGCCTGTCACCCGTAATCTGTCGTGTAGGTGAATATTGTACGTTCCCCCCTCAGCAATGCTCGGGCGATGAAGAACGTATTAACACGTCTGTGATCAAGAAGTTAACATGTTTTCTCAGGAGAACCGGAGCCCCTGATCTCTGGATGGACCCCAGTTCAGCATCCTTTTCCTTAAATCACGTTGTTTCTGCTTCCTGGGTCAGGAGGACTGCCAAAATCTGGTTCTTTAAAGACATGTCGGGTTTCCTCCCCCCGCCACTTTAATAAATAAAGCAAAACAAAAATATCATTAGCCAATGACCCTGGGAACAATTTAAGAAAAAAAGCTATCTCAAGACCCCAAAGGTAGAAAGGCTGTTCGGAGTGGGTTCACCTAGTCGTGTGTGTGTGTGTGTGTGTTACTGACAACAGCATGGGGCGTGCATGCGTGTTCTGGGGTGCTTGCTAATAACATCTCAATATGCTCTGCTTCCTGCGGCCGGGGCGCCGACTAACGACGCGCTGTGTGTGTTCCAGTGGGGCCCCGACGACGACGCTCCCGCCCCGCGCGGCCGAGGCCCGGGCGAAGAGGCGCTCTATGAGAACGCCGCCCTGTACGATAGCTTGCCGTCTCCGAGAATCTTTGCTCGCTGCCCCCCCGCCGACAGGAAGGCTGCTAGGCCGTCCCCCGACAGGCCGTCCCGTAACTGCTACCAGCACCCCGCCTCCTCCGGCCTGCCCTCCTCCCCGCCTCTCACTAACACCTCTTCTGTGGGGAGGGCGTCTCTCGGGCTCAACTCACAGGTACAGCACCCCGTTCTGTAGTCTTCTAGAATCTCTGTCACGCTTCTCCTGCAGGGTCTGGCGGTGACAGGAGTGTCCGCCAGCTCGCGGGCAGTGAGCCCTGTCGGGGGTCGAGCGCAGTCTTCCCCTCAACTAGGGTATGATCTGCAAATGCACTCGGCATCTGGCCACCCGGGGACGGGTCACGAGAAACGCGGAGCGAAACCGTGTTACGTGCCAGCCCAACTAGTTCAGGGGGCTGCCCTGGTGACTCAGAGGTCAAGAATCTGCCTGCAATGCAGGAGACCTGGGTTCAATCCCTGGGTTGGGAAGATCCCCCTGGAGAAGGAAATGGCAACCCACTCCAAGTATTCTTGCCTGGAGAATCCCATGGACGGGAGCCTGGCAGGCTACAGTCCATGGGGTCACAAAGAGTCGGATACAGCTTACTGACTAATCAACAACTACTGGCCCAGGGTTGCTTTCTGTTTGTCTTCTGCCTCTGCCCACCTCTCTCTCCATCCTTGTGATGTTCCCCAGTGAATTTTGTGAGTTATGGTGATTAAAGGCAAAGTATTAAAGAGCATGGGGCGGTAAGTTTTCAGAAGACTTCTGAGCTGCGAGGTCCTTTCCGGTGTTTTCCTTGCATGTACTTGAGGAAGGGTGGGCTCCACTGGCCATTGCTTCCAGACCTTTAAGCAGGATTAGTCCAAGGATTACAGTATTCTCCCATCATGAGTGTAGGAGTATACTCCCTAAAATGGAGTGGATAATACGACTCTTGGATTATCACTGAATGGTCAGTAAACTTGATTTTGAGTGATTGTCCATCCCACACCTCTTCTTTGTGGCAAACTGTGACGTTTCAGTGTAAATATTAATTTTGTGTTTGCACGCATTTAAACTAAGATCTAAGTGGTACCTGGAAGAATACTCTACAAACATAAAGCACAGGACCACATTTTAAATTATTTTCTTTTCCCTCTAGTTTTTGGGGTAATCTTGAGGAAATGATGAATGCCAAGTAAGATCCTAGAATTTCAGAGTGTGATAGTTTATAGTGGTTCTTCCAAACCTGCTCTTTTTCTCAAAGTCACGTAGGGAGATTTTTGTGTCTTATTTCTAAAAACAGCTGGAGATGGTGATTCAGTGAGTCTGAGGACCCAGACCAGTGTATCTTCAAACATAAGTACTTACATAGAAAGTTTTTTGATGAGTGAAAGTGACGTGAAAGTCACTCAGCCATGTCTGACTCCTTGCCACCCCGTGGACTGTACAGTCCACGGAATTCTCCAGGCCACAATACTGGAGTGGGTAGCCTTTCCCTTCTCCAGGGGATCTTCCCAACCCTGGGATCGAACCCAGGTCTCCCACATGGCAGGCAGATTCTTTACCAGCTGAGCCACCAGGGAAGCCCCTAATACTTATTTATGAGCACTTACATAAAAAGTCTCACAGGTCACATGCTTCCCTTACTAGGTGAAGGTATTGACCTGTCTTTTTATTGGTATTGGAGTTCACTTTGGTAAAAACGATGGGACAAAATATCCTGTCATATCCATTTGGAGTATCCCCTGATTAGTTTGGAATCACTTGACATCTGGTTCGTTTGTGTTTTGTTTTTGTTCACGTTACTTTCAAAGTGGGAAGCACATTTGCAGGTCGCTTACCTTCAGTTTCCGTGTCCTCATTTGGCCATTTAGTGGGGACCCGCTACACTTAACACACACCTGCCGTATGTGCACCCTAGATGTGGGCCCTGTGTCATTTAAGCTTTTTAGGAGCCCTGTGGGTGACATCAGTGTGTTTACGTTTTCAAATGAAGCATGCAGGCTCAGAAAGCATTAATGCTCAACACCTCCTAAGTGATGGAGTGGGAATTTGAAGCCCCCCACCCCGACCCCCCACAAACCCAGGCTCCCAGCAGTAAGAAATGTGTGTATGGAGGAGCCGGGCTATCTAGCTGGATTCACGACCCAGCCAAGGTGCACACACATCACTTGTGCAAAATGCAGCCCGGGTCGGCTTGCAGCCATCAAAGAATTAGGGATGCACTGAATTATCCTGAAATCCTGCAGTGAGTTAAAATGCAGTTCATACTGTTCCTGTATTTAGCTGCTTCTGCTTCCTTCCTGAGACCCCGTGAGCGAATCAAACGGTAGTTCTTCACCCAGTTAGGACGTCAGTATAAAGCCCTGGGAGCTGAAGACTTCAGTGCACACGGTCTGCTACTTCCCCGAAGACCATCCCACCGCAGTAAAAGCTGTCTATCCTTGGACACCCAGACTGTTGGTAACCTCGGCCCAGTGCTCTCAGAAACCCACAGTCTGTGCCACCTCCCGATAGAAATAGGTAACTTCGGCGACTCCCAACTGAGGACATCCTAGGGTTCCCTGTTGGCTCTGAACTTTGGTGCTAGAACCTTTTCAGCCACTCTGGGAAGTTCACAGCCGTCCAGTGTTGGGAAGCCAGGCCGGTGTCTACCAAACACCTGTGCTTTTTTTCTGTCTGTGCTACATTCAAAAGAGTCAGAGACTGAACAGTTGACTGCAAAAAAAACCAAAAACAGGTGTTTGTCTGCTTGTTTTTCATTCTCCCACATGTTTGTTTCCACAGTCGAAGGGTAAGAAGCCCCCCGTGGCCTCCAATGGCATTATAGGCAAAGGCAAGGCTCCGAGCGGGCAGCAGAAAAAGGCTGACTCGGCGGCGGGCGTGAAGCGGACGCCTTCGAGTAAGTCGATCCCTCCGTCTCCCGTGTTCTGGCTCTGGGTGCGGCGTGCAGAGCGGGGGCCGCGTGGCCGTCTCCCTTCCCACCTGGGGAGGTGGAGCGTGCCATGTCGGGGGTGGGGGGTGGAGGCGGTGGGCAGTTGGAGAGAGAGATCCTTTCACACCCCGATCCTTCCTTGCGTGCTGGGTCGTGGAATGGCCGAGACGGTCAGCCTGGCGCCTCGGTTGCAGCATACCCGAGCAGACAGAGCCGGTTCCGCTGCAGACTTGCTCACGCGTGTTTACCTGTGAGGCGGCTCTGGGCTCGGGGTGGTGCTGACCCTCGATCGGTGGGTCGGGCTCCTCCGTCTGTGTCCCCCGTCTTCCGAGGGAGCCGCTTGGTTGGGTCGCAGAGGCTGTCTGAGCTCAGCCTCTGCGACTGGGAGGCGCAGGCGGGGTCAGCTGGGCCTCCGTGGCCCCAACAGTGGGGGCATCACGTTCCCTCAGCGCGCGGGAGCCTCTCCAGGTCTGCCGGGAGCCCTGCGCCTCCCGCCCCGCCATGATCTCTCCCGCTGTGTCACCCCCGGCCCCCACCCCGCCCCGCTATGCGAGTGGAGACGCAGCCTCGGGGAGCTGCTGAGGCTCTCCGAGGTCGCCCCGAGCCCTGCGAACCGGGTTTCCAGGCTGCAGACCTGGCAGGGGCCGGGCTGAGCCGAGGAGCCCGCCTGCGCCCAGCGTCCTTCATGACCCACAGACGCGTGCCTCCGGGGGCTCAGTCGCTGTGTGTCTTTGTATCTGCTTCAGCCCCGGCTGTGTTGGATCGCTCTTCATCTAGTCAGTCGGGCAGGGGCTGCAGCTGGAAGACCAGGCAGCGGGTGCCCAGGGGTGCTGTCCCCGAGGGTCCCGCAGGCAGACAGGTGCTTCAGACGGGCCCCAGTGCAGGCTCTCAGCAGGCCCGGGAGCTCCCCGCTGAGTGTGGGCCTGTCGGGGAACTTTCCCAGGGAGGAAGGTGGGAGTTAGGAGCTCCGTCTGACGCGACCACCTGGGAAGCCGAGCTGACACTTTCTGAGCTGGGATCAGCGTAGCCCCAACCCCAGGTGACTGGGCACCTGGCTGCCGACCACGCTGAGTGCCGGCGGCTTGATTTCAGAGTCCGGGAGCACGCGGCAGGTGAGACGGGGCTTGCTCCATGGCCTCGGGTGCGCACAGGCCCGCTGTCGTCCCAGGGGCTCGCGGCGCCTGCCCTGGGGAGTGCGGGCCTCCTGACGTCGGCTGCCCGGCTCTGCCCTTCTCCTCAGACACGGTCCCGCTCCCCCGTCGGGCCTCATCGCCATCACTTGTTTAACGTGCTCTTTCTGACCTCATCTTTCGGGCAGATCGCGTCTCCCTCGTGCCGTCGGGGGTGCTTGCGGTCCCTTGGGTGCACCTGGGCAGCGGCAGGCGGGACAGAGGGCCGTGTCTGCAGTCCCCTGTGCTGCGGGGCTGGGCCACAGGAAGCCTGCCCCTGTCGTCTCTCGGCTCCTGCTCCTCTTGTGTTTCCTAGACGACTGCTCTCCGTATTTCATGAGGCCTTCGGTAGCGAATCCTTGCTACCTTTGGTGACATCCAGTGATGAAAAAAGAGAAATTGCAGTCTCTGTTTTTGCCGCATTCAGCCTGTTGCATGGCATCCCGGATGGCGTTTATTTCACGGGGACCAAATGATGCGGGAGGCGGTAGGCGACTGTACACAGCTTTGTCAGGAAACAGCTTAGATTGGAAACGAGCAGGCCGAGTTTGGACTGCGCTCTATTTGTAGAATACGCGGTATCCACGCCCCCGAGAGCAGTGCTTTTCTTTCAAGCCTTTTTAAGATTTTTCTGTTTGATGTGGGCCATTTTAAAGTGTATTGAGTTCCTTACAATATCGCTTCTGTTTTATGTTGTGGTTTTCTGACCCTGAGATACGTGAGATCTTTGCTCCCCAGCCAGGGATTGAGGGGCCCCCCTACATTGGAAGGTGAAACCGCCTTCACCACTGGACCTCCGGGGAGTCCCTTGCATTTCAGGTTGTTGATGTGGTCATTCTCATGCTGTGGTCCTTTAAATAGCTTTCTTCGTGGCGGGGGGGGGTGGTGGGTTAGTGAGGGGAAGATTAATGGCTGTGTACCTGCTTCCACAAATGCAGTTTCATGCAGTCACCGTGGTTTGCCATGCAATAACTGATGAATCCTGGGTTTAGGAGAGGCGCTAGAAGTGGCTGAAAAAGGCTCACCGTTGGCTGGGAGGGTGGACAGGGCTCCAGGGGCTCCGTTATCGCTGACTGGGATGAGAGCTGCCAGGGAGTGTCCACACGGCCCGGGCATCATGCGGTCCCGTCAGAGGGACGGGTTTTAGCACAGGCATCGACTGTGTTTTACCGTTGGCTGGGAGGGTGGACAGGGCTCCAGGGGCTCCGTTATCGCTGACTGGGATGAGAGCTGCCAGGGAGTGTCCACACGGCCCGGGCATCATTCTCATGCTGTGGTCCTTTAAATAGCTTTCTTCGTGGCGGGGGGGGGTGGTGGGTTAGTGAGGGGAAGATTGATGGCTGTGTACCTGCTTCCACAAATGCAGTTTCATGCAGTCACCGTGGTTTGCCTTGCAATAACTGATGAGTCCTGGGTTTAGGAGAGGCGCTAGAAGTGGCTGGAAAAGGCTCACCGTTGGCTGGGAGGGTGGACAGGGCTCCAGGGGCTCCGTTATCGCTGACTGGGATGAGAGCTGCCAGGGAGTGTCCACGCGGCCCGGGCATCACGCGGCCCCGTCAGAGGGACGGGTTTTAGCACAGGCATCGACTGTGTTTTTTTCAGCCCACAAGGTGGGATTTAGCACTTCTGCTTTTTGGGGGGTGACGCTGAGGCTCCAGGAGATTAATTGCTGGCCCACAGTCATGGCCTCTTCCCTGGTTCGCTGCCTTCATGATTGACCATGACCCCCTCTCCCCACCACGGCTTCTCCCCAGAAGTCATTTCCAATCTAGTAACAGTGTCAGACATGCAAATAAACCACTGTGGTGTCTCATGGGACGTGAGCTCCCAAGGGCAGTGGTGCAGAAGGCCTTGAGTCATGGTCAGGTGTGAGCAGTTAGCTTCAGGGGCATCGGGAGACCATAGGAGCTACAGAATTATTGTTCCATCACTCAGCCATGTTCAACTCTGTGACCCCATGGACTGCAGCACACCAGGCTTCACCATCTCCTGGATTGCTGAAACTCATGTCCATCAAGTTGGTGATGCCACCCAACCACCTCATCCTCTGTAGCCCCTTTCTTCTGCCTTCAATCTTTTCCAACATCAGGGTCTTTTCCAGTGAGTTGGCCCTTCACATCAGGTGGCCAAAGTATTGGAGTGTCAGCTTCAGCATCAGTCCTTCCAGTGAATATTCAGGACTGAGTTCCTTTAGGATTGACTGGTTTGATCTCCTTGCTGTCCGAGGGAATCTTAAGAGTCTTCTCACAAAATTGTGAGCCCTGATTATCCTGGAAAGTCCAGCACAATTAGAGGATAAGAGCACAGGCTCAGGGTTTAACGCGATGTTAGCTAGTGGTGTGATGTTGGCCAAACCCCTCAATTGTCCTTAAGGCTAGCTTCCTCTTTGTTCATTTATCCACGCTCTATGTTTAATGAGCATTTAGCTAGTGCTCATTCTGTGCTTGCTCAGAGTTCTAATGAGTGTTAATTTAACCCTCACAACAACCCTGTGAGGGAGTCCCTGGTGGTTCAGCAGTAAAGAATCCACCTCACAAAGCAGCAGACATAGGAGACTCCGATTCCATCCCTGGGTCAGGCAGATCCCCTGGAGGAGGAAATGGCAACCCACTCCAGTATTCTTGCCTGGAGATTCCCATGGACCCAAGGAGCCTGGCAGGCTACAGTCCATGGGGTCGTAGAGTCAGACACGACGGGGCGACTATAAACAACCACCCTGTGAACTGCCCGCTCTCGATCCCCCCGTTGCACAGGTGAGGACACTGAGGCACAGAGCAACGCGGAGCCTTGTTGGAGGCCACACAGTGCGGGAGGCACGCTGGGACCCCCGCCCAGGCAGTGGGGCTCCAGACGCGGCCCTGGGCGCCCCTCCACTTTCTCACGTGTCCCCTGACTCCGCAGGGTCCTGGTGTGAGCTCTGTGCACACCAGGGGCCACCCCGCCACCCGTGGAGGGGGCATAGCTGCCGTCAGAGTCAGCAAGAGAGTCCACAGCACCGTTGTAAGGGTCAGACATGATGGCAAGAGGACTCCACGCATCAAGATTATTCCTGGCATGGATAGACCCCTCTTCTCGGATTGTAGAACGTTTTATTCACTCTCGACCTTACTGAAGAGTATACATGGCATCCTGCCTCAATGGGAGGAGTTAAAGAAATTTCCTAATATTCTATTTTTTTTTTTTTTTGCCTTTTCATACTGTCCCTGGGGTTGCAAAGAGTTCGACATGACTGAGTGACTGCATTGAACTGAACATTCTGTTTTCATCTTTGAAATTCATTTCAAAGAATATCAGATCATCGGAACCAGTCACTTTTCTGCTTGGTTCAAACTTGTCCTGTTCTTTTTCCTCGTTGGATTAGCAAAGTAACTCGCTTTGAGTTTATTTTATGGAGTTGGTGGATTAAACAGGCTTTATGAATTAGCCCATCATCTGCTTGGTTAAATTTAATTTCCTACCGATGCTTTCTTTTTTGACAGATGCTGACCAGTACAAATATGGCAAGAACCGGGTGGAAGCAGACGCCAAGCGGCTGCAGGCCAAGGAGGAGGAGCTGCTGAAGAGGCGGGAGGGCCTCCGCGACAGGCTGGCCCAGCTGCGCAAGGAGAGGAAGGGGCTGAGGGCCGCCATCGACGTGAACAGCGGTACGCGGGCCCCTCCCGCGGGGCCAGCGCCTCTGCCGGGGGCTGAGCCTCGCCGGCTCTCTGCTTCCACCCGGTGCTTCTCGCAGTTTGGGAGCCTTGCTGGAACCCCGGGGCAGGGGCCTCGGTGTGGAGTAAGGACCTGGCAGGAGGAGGCCCCCCGGCTGGGGCCCGGGTGGGTGCCGGGAGCTGTCCCAGCCTCGGGTGCTGACGGCCGGGTGGTCGGGAGCACGAGCCCCAGGACTCCGGACCTCTGGTCCCTGGCTGTGATGGAGGTCTTGGGGAGGACGCATCATCCACAGAAGCCCAGGTGGGAGGTCCCCCGTGGGGCTGGAAGGAGCCCCCCTTTCCCTGCGGAGGGACCAGCAAGAGTGGGGTGATAGCGGACTAGTGGATGGGATCTGGGAAGAGCCCAGGGGGACAGGAGCAACCCCAGAAGTGGGGGGAGGAGGGGACCCCGATTCGGACCACAGCCCGTCTGTCTCTAGGTCAGGCCTGTCTGCCAGGCCTCCTGTAGGTCAGGCTTTCTCCCTGGGGGAGCTGGGCAAGCAGTGCCTGGCTCTGGGGTTGGCGCTGCAAAAAACATCTCTCTGCATCACTCAGGGCTGAATCTGACTCTGGGGCGAGGATGACTCTGTCGATTGTGATCCTTTGGCCTTGGGTCGGGGGTAGGGGTGAGGAAGAGGGACCCAGAGAGTAGGACGGTTCGGGAAGGAAGCCCCTGCTTTCCATCGGCGTCTGCGCCGGAGGAGCTGGTGGATGTGCAGCAGTTATCCAGCAGCTCCAGCCATCCCCGACTCTGTGCCTAGGTGATTTTTTAAGAAGGAAAGCCCTTTCGAAGTGTGAAGAATGGGAGGCGGGTGTGCGCTGGTCCGAGACAGCCTGTAGGAGGGGCAGGAGGTGGCATCTCCTGTGAGCGCCCCCCCCAGCCAGGGACAGGGAAAGGGGATCAGAGGCTCGGGCAGAGACCTAGATGGGAGCCCCCAGGTCAGCAGGACGGGAGGAGAGTGCTTCCCTCCGTGTTTCCAGTTGGCAGGGTAGTGAAGATGCAGACAGATTAGACCAGCTTCAGGCCTGGAAAAAGAGAACTCCCATGTGCTGCCAGGCACCAGGCTGGGGCCAGGCCCACTGGTCAGTTAGCCCTCAGGATCAGTTTCCTTATCTGTCCAGTGGGCACATTGCCTGCCTTCCTGTGTCACTGTGACACATTTCAGATAAGATAAATAAAGCAAATGTGCCGTGTTCTATGGAGATGTGAGCTGTATTATATTTTGATCACGGGGACAAATAAGATGACTCAAGAGTAGAAAAAAATGAGAACAGGAAAATATTCAGTTGTTTTAAGACAGCGGCAGCTTTGGAAGCCACCTGGTCCAAATTGCTCATTTTAAAATGAGGGTGTTGAGGCCCAGACCCCAAACTCCTGACGTTTGTGAGGATCAGGGTCTTCTGTTTCCCAGTCCATATTCTCCCAGCTGCATGAAGCAGGGCAGCTGGGAAGGGACCCTGCTCCTTTCAGGAACCACAGGATTGGAGTTTGGTGGGACGGATTCTAGTTGCAGGGAGCAAGACCCCCAGGGTTGGGCCGAGCACCTCCCAGGCCGCCCCGAACGTCTGTCCTCGGATGCTTGGAAGTATTTGCCTTCAGCTGGAGCAGTAGTGTTCCTCTGGGATTTCAGGCAGGAAGACCCAGGTGGTCCTGGAGGAGAAGCTGAAGAGGCTGGAGGAGGAGTGTAAGCAGAAGGAAACGGAGCGCGTCAACCTGGAGCTGGAGCTGACGGAGGTCAAAGAGAGCCTCAAGAAGGCGCTGGCTGGCGGCATCACCCTGGGGCTGGCCATCGAGCCCCGCTCAGGGACGTCCAGCCCGCAGGTACAGTCCGCCCGCTCCCCGGGAGAGGGACGGGGCGCACTCTCCTAGGTCGAGACTCATCCGCGTCCCCCAGCACCAGCCTCGCCAAGACACAGCTCGCGTGTCCACCTGAAATGCTTTCCTTGGCCGTGTCTCAAGGTTACAGACCCTGAATTTTTTTTCTCTGTCTCACTGAACTTTTTTTCAAAGGTGGTGGAAACCCCGAGTCTGTTTTCTTCCCTTTGGCAAAATCTGAGTATATTTTGGGTTGGTCAGAAAGCTCGTTCAGGTTTCTCCCGTCTGATGTCGTGTCTCCGGGCACCGATCGCTGCTCTGGGGTGGCCCGGGGCCCTCCCTTCCTCTCGAGGGTCTCCCACGCAGGCCCCTCTTGTCAGCCCTCCTTCCCTGTGCCCTGCCTCAGGCCTGCTCCTCTCCCTGGAGGGCCCCTGCTGGGGTCCCAGAGGCTCTCTGCCTTGTCCCCTCGATCCAGCCTGGGAACAGCGCTGCCATGAGGCGCTCCTGTCCCGGGGGAGGGCACGGGCTGCCCCTCTCAGAGCTCAGCTCCGCTTCCCGGGGGGTGGACAGAGCGCTTCCCTCCTCTCCACCCCCACCCCTCAGCCAGAGTGGCCTTGGAAGGCCTTTCCAAGTGAAGGGAAACGTGGGGCGAGCTGGCTGCAGCCCCCAGGGCTCTCAGCTACCCTCGGAATGGTCAATGAAGCCCTGTTCTCCTAAAACGGCGTTCTGTGAGATCTCTCCTGTGTTTACATCACATGTGACGCAACGAGCACAGGGCGCTCAGTCCTCGAGGCCTCATTTGGGGAAGGACAGCAAATTACAGGAGCAGTTTGCGATCTCACCGGGGCCCGGGTGACCACGGATCCGCCCTGCTCTGTCTCAGGACTTGCTCTGACCCGCAGAGACCGCGCTGTAAGTGGCCAGTTAGCCTGTGGATTGGCCCGTGGCCACTGCCGGGAGCCGCACCCCGCAGCTGCAGCATCAGTCCTTCCAGTAAATGTTCAGGGTTGATTTCTTTTAGGATTGACTGCATTGAGCTCTTTGCAGTGCCAAGAGACTCTCAAGAGTCTTCTCCAGCACCACCGCACGAAAGCATCCATTCTTCGGTTGTCACTTTTGCCTATTTCCCAAGCCCATTTTCTTCATTAAACATTTTCCTCATGGGAAATACAGCTGACCTGGAACCCACACCTCACCCAGTGCCTCCTCTTTCTGTTAACAGTCTCCAGTTTTCAGGCATCGGACTCTGGAGAACTCGCCCATGTCCAGCTGTGAGACCAGCGACGCAGAGGGCCCGGTGCCATGCTCCTCTCCCTGGAGGGCCCCTGCTGGGGTCCCAGAGGCTCTCTGCCTTGTCCCCTCGATCCAGCCTGGGAACAGCGCTGCCATGAGGCGCTCCTGTCCCGGGGGAGGGCACGGGCTGCCCCTCTCAGAGCTCAGCTCCGCTTCCCGGGGGGTGGACAGAGCGCTTCCCTCCTCTCCACCCCCACCCCTCAGCCAGAGTGGCCTTGGAAGGCCTTTCCAAGTGAAGGGAAACGTGGGGCGAGCTGGCTGCAGCCCCCAGGGCTCTCAGCTACCCTCGGAATGGTCAATGAAGCCCTGTTCTCCTAAAACGGCGTTCTGTGAGATCTCTCCTGTGTTTACATCACATGTGACGCAACGAGCACAGGGCGCTCAGTCCTCGAGGCCTCATTTGGGGAAGGACAGCAAATTACAGGAGCAGTTTGCGATCTCACCGGGGCCCGGGTGACCACGGATCCGCCCTGCTCTGTCTCAGGACTTGCTCTGACCCGCAGAGACCGCGCTGTAAGTGGCCAGTTAGCCTGTGGATTGGCCCGTGGCCACTGCCGGGAGCCGCACCCCGCAGCTGCAGCATCAGTCCTTCCAGTAAATGTTCAGGGTTGATTTCTTTTAGGATTGACTGCATTGAGCTCTTTGCAGTGCCAAGAGACTCTCAAGAGTCTTCTCCAGCACCACCACACGAAAGCATCCATTCTTCGGTTGTCACTTTTGCCTATTTCCCAAGCCCATTTTCTTCATTAAACATTTTCCTCATGGAAAATACAGCTGACCTGGAACCCACACCTCACCCAGCGCCTCCTCTTTCTGTTAACAGTCTCCAGTTTTCAGGCATCGGACTCTGGAGAACTCGCCCATGTCCAGCTGTGAGACCAGCGACGCAGAGGGCCCGGTGCCCGTGAACAGTGCGGCCGTCCTGAAGAAGAGCCAGCCGGCCTCCGGCAACTCCCCGTGCCGGGGCCACGTGCTGCGGAAGGCCAAGGTGAGCGCCCGCCCTGCCCGCTGGGGGAGCGGCAGTGCTGAAGGGGAGCAGGTATCCTGGGGGGGGCGGCGGTGACTCCAGCGCCGATGCAGGCAGGAGGGGTGGGGGCACTTCAGCGCAGAGTTTGCTGGGGACGGTGGGCCAGCTGAGGAGCTAAGCGTAGCCTCCTGATCCGGTTCTACAGCTACTGTATATCTCCCGTGTTGTAGGCAGATGCTTTACCGTCTGAACCACCAGGGAAGTCCCTATATGTAGATACTGTTCCACAAGTACCTACCCAGTTCTTTCCTAAAGTCAGACCCTCCTTCAGGAAGCCATCCTTCCAGAGTCAGAAACGGCGAAGATCTGGTCTCTAGGCCCGCACCATCTGTTGTCAGGAAAGCCTGCAGCTCTGGTTCTGTCTCCTGGCTTCTTCTGACTTGTGTCTTCATTGATAAAACAGAGATTGGCCAGGTGACCAACGGGATCTTTTTAAAAAAAAAGTAAAAAGGCGAGGCGTGAACTCTTCTCTAACCCCTCCCCTGGCCTCCCCACCCTCATCCTGTAAACCTGTGCCCGCAGGGCCATCCCGGCGTGCCTTTCAGTCTTTAGCTGGCACTGCCCACTGAAAAATTTTGATGCCAAACTTAAAATCTCAGAAAATTAAAGAAAAAAAAAGCTATAGATTTTCAAAGGAAGCAGTTTTGGATGGTGTAGCTGGCCATGTGTGCTGTGAGAGCATCCTACTTGGTCCACTCACCCTACTTCATCCAGAGGAGTTTCACTTGTCCTGACGAGCGTGGGGGCCGGCCGCCCTCCCCGCTCTCCCTCTGGGACCCTCTGTATGCTGCCGTTACCCTTGTTCTCTGGCGGTTTTGGAGCCCAGTGTGGGTTGGCTGGGGAGGTACTGTTTTCTGGAAAGCGGACCTGGTGTTCGATCAGATCAGGAGTAAAGCGCTGGCCACACGCTGCCGTGTTCACGGGCCGGTCCCTGACGGTGACGGCTATAAATAGCATCTGCAGTGTCTGCCTTCACAGCACATGCATTTGACTGAGCCTGTGTGTGTTGGTAAATTTGGGGAAAAGGATGATTGTGCGCCATTGGTTACTTTACTTCAGTTCAGTCCCTCAGTCGTGTCCGACTCTTCTCGACCCCATGAATCACAGCATGCAAGGCCTCCCTGTCTATCACCAACTCCCAGAGCTTACTCACACTCACGTCCATCGAGTCAGTGATGCCATCCATCCATCTCATCCTCTGTCATCCCCTTCTCCTCCTCTGTCATCCCCTTCTCCTCCCACCTTCCATCTTTCATTAGCATCCATTAAGTATTCTTAGTTTGCAGAGGAATATGTTTTGCTTGAAAGCTATTTAAAATCGAGCTGTCCCATAAAGTCCCTCTAATTATTTGCAGAAGGGAAATGCAATAACAATATTCCCTTTTTTCCTTTACTGTCAAAGAAACCAGTTNTTCTTAGTTTGCAGAGGAATATGTTTTGCTTGAAAGCTATTTAAAATCGAGCTGTCCCATAAAGTCCCTCTAATTATTTGCAGAAGGGAAATGCAATAACAATATTCCCTTTTTTCCTTTACTGTCAAAGAAACCAGTTTACGGCTCTGTAACCGCAGCCTCTGGAAGGCTCCGTCTCGAGGGCCTGCCCTGGCCATGCAGAGGCGCGTGCTCTGCACGTCCCCCTCTGATAAATGTAAACTGTGTGGTTCTGGCCGCGGTGGATGCACAGCTGGCCACTCAGACCAGCCCAGGGCCTCCCTGACAGAGTGGGGTTGAGCGGGGTTTCCCGGGACTCCCGAGCATAGTGACAGGGAGCCACGGCTGGAGGAAAGGGGTGGTGGCCTGGCCCGGCCCCTGGGAGTGTCCGTCCACCTGTGAGTGCATCGCACATGTGGTCTCTGCTCCCACTGCAGCCTTTCTTCCCGGGGACTCCTCTGACTCATCCTGGGTTCTCATTGAGAACCATCATCCCAGGCACTGTTCCTAGGGTAATGCCCGACTCCGAAGAGGGCTGCTCAGAGTGTGGGAGGGTGTGCTCCCAAAAGCTGGGGAGTGGCAGGCCCCCCGTCTCGGGGTTTCCCAGTGTGAGCAGGGCTGATGGGCCCCGACGCCTGGCTCCAGGCAGCCGCCTCCTCCTTGTCTGGGCCCTGGCATGTGTGGGAGGTGGCCTGGCCTGCCCCCGCCCCAGGCGTGGCCTGGCCTGCCCCCGCCCCAGGCGTGCCCTGTGGACCTGTACATGCCCCCTCTCACCTCGCTTGGCAGGAGTGGGAGCTGAAGAACGGGACATAGAGCCGGAGGATGCCCGGCTCTCGCAGCGTCGAGTGACCGCCCCACGACTGCGCTCCGTGCCGGGACCCAGGCCCGCCGCGCACATCCTCTCTACTGTATAATGGTTCCTTTAAAGAGATTTACTTGTAACGCTTTGGCTTCCAACTTCATTTGTGAAAAGACGGCAAGGGGCAGAACGCAGGGAGCCTCTCCCTGCCCCTGTCAGCGGATGAAGAAGCCATAGCTTCCCGCCCAGGTAGATGGCGGCTTCCACCCATGCCTGTACGCCCCAGACCGAAGACCCGCAGGGACCTCGACGCGGACACCCTCTGCATGCTGGGTGAGGTGTGGGCCTCCAGCTGCCCGCTGCTCTGCCGGGCGCCCTGGGGATGCCCCACCCAACCCCCCGAGTCTCACCAGCGCCTCCCCCACGCCCGGTAAAGTCACCACAGAGCTACGCTGTGAAGCAGTTTCTGTTTTTACAAACATTTTCTGAACAGATGCTTTTGTCACCAGGACATGAAAAGCTGCCACTCTTCTATAGACCTTAAGAAAGTGTCCTCTCTTTATCTTGGGTTGCACTTAGCTCCCAAGGTTTTCCACTGCTTCTGGATCATATTGAGGATTTGTCCCACTTGGGAAAGGCAGCAGAGGGTTTTCGGTGCTTCACGTTGTGTGTGTCCTTTCCTGCTTTTTGCAGCATCCACACCCCCTCCGACCCCCTCAGAGCCGGCGGGGTGGCCTCAGGGTGACGGTCACATTCATTCCCCAGGGGCCTGGCTGCCAGGGCAGGGCCTCTTGGAGTGTCCCTGCGGCCTCCTGCAGGATGTTTCTGGAGCCTGAGACGTAATGGGGACAGGCCCGTCCACAGGCAGAGGCCATCTGGGTCTGAGGGCCAGGCCAGCCCTCCGTCTGCAGAGGGACCTCTCAGGAATACTCCCTGTGGGAAGCGCAGCCACGCCCAGCACAGCCATCAGTCACCCCGGAGCCCCCTGCACGCTGACCAAAGGACCAGTCACACACGTGGACGGGCCCTCTGCCCGCCGCCATCAGAGCAGGCCTCGCGCCCACTGCCCTGCGGGTGTTTCTCATCAGATACAGGAGCAGGAAGCGTCCTGTGACCACGTCCTGTTGCTCACATTTTCTGCAGGCCATGCCAGTTGGGGTGGCTATCGCCAGCAGGGTCAGAGTGGCCCCCGAGGCCAGCACGGGCCATGGCTGGCTCTACCAACCAGAGCAGGGTGGTGGGCTTGGTGCCAGGAACTTCGCAGCAGAACCAGAAGCTGTCTGCGTGGACCATGTGAAGTCGCTCAGTCGTGTCTGACTCTGCGATCCCATGGATTGTAACCTACCAGGCTCCTCTGTCCATGGGATTTTACAGGCAAGAGTACTGGAGTGGGTTGCCATTCTCTTCTTTGGGGGATCTTCCCGACCCAGGGATCGAACCTGGGTCTCCCGCATTGCGGGCAGACTTTTTACCCTCTGAGCCACCAGGGAAGCCTGCTTACCCGGAGCCCACCTGAAAAGCCTGGCTTTCTCGCAAAGCCGGCTGTCTGGTCTGCGAGCTGCCGCCTGGTGTCCAGCGCTCAGGTTCGCCCTCCGTAGTTGATGCAACAGGTGGGGGGTGCATCTCACCCACACCTATGACCCTGACCCTAGGAAGTGCAGGTAGGAAGTGGGGAGCTCGTCTTCCCAGTCCTGTTTGCCCTGGCCTCCCACCCGCGTAGGAGGCTGGGCCACTTGACATCACATGAAGCTGATTTTCCGTAAGGGAGAAAACTGTGATCCGCTATAGAGTCTCACTGCCTTGCGGTCAAACGAATGCTCTCCAGGTGTGGCTCTCCAGCCGCTCTGATTGGTAGCCAGCTTTGTCTAAGACGCGGCCAGGCCTCGATTGTCACTGGGAAGGGACCACGTGACCGTAGCCGGCACAGGTGGGCAGAGTCAGCCAGCAGCGGGCTGGTGGGCAGAGGTCGCTGCGGCCATCTCTGTGGACCGAAGCCGAGGATGGCGGTTGGCACTGGAACCAGGATTTGGGCCCTGGTCTTCAGACTCCCGGGGTACGTGTTTCCTGTCCAAAAAGCCCACGTTTCTAAATTCACTTCACAACCATAAGCCTTTTAAAGAGAATGGAGGAGTCGATCCTGTCTCGTTCCCCGAAGCCACGTACAACAGGCCCCGCGGGGGTCAAGGCTGCCGGCATTGGGCTCTGCGATGCCGTGTGTTTGCCTCGACGTCTCAGATTCGATCAGAAAGTTAAAGCGTTTGCTTCAAAATAAGTTATTTATTTGTATATGTTCAGTAAGTATAGTTTTTAATTTATATCTGTACATATTAGACACACCGTGGACATCCTGTAAGAATCCTGGCAGCGACAGCGATCTCTGTAGCCCGTCCGAAACGTGCCCCAGGAGGCTGCCCCCTCGCCCTGGGGTGGGGGAGGCCAGGAGGCAGCGGTGCCGGAGCCAGGCTCGGGGGAGAGGCAGCCGGCCGGGACCCCTGCTCCGGGGTGCAGGCCCCTCCCCTGGGAGAAGTGGATCCTTGGGCCCTGTCCCCATCCCTCCGACAGACGGTCGTGGTCACAGAGTGCTGGCCAAATGGGATCCTGACTGAAATGAGATGAACGTGGTGGCCGGACCAGAGCCTGGCGTGAGACGGTCCCCTCCCGGCGTCTCAAGGCCCTTCCCTTAGGACGGGGCGACCGTCAGCTTCTCAGGGGCTTCTGCTCCTGGCTCTGTTTTGGCAAGGGGTCATCAATCTTGAAAATCCCCTCATTTTCACATTTTTATGAAGTGAAGTGAAAGTAGCTCAGTTGTGTCCGACTCTTTGCGAGCCCATGGACTATACAGTCCATGGGATTCTCCAGGCCAGAATACTGGAGTGGGGTAGCCTTTCCCTTCTCCAGGAGATCTTCCCGACCCAGGGATGAAATCCAGGTCTCCCGCATTACAGGCAGATTCTTTACCAGCTGAGCTACCGGGGAAGCCCAAGATTACTGGAGTGGGTAGCCCATATTACATTTTTATAGTGTTTTTCATTCATTCACCAACTTTTTGCACAGACGTGGTCAGAGGGCATGCCATATCACCCTCGACGTGGGCTCAGGAGGTGGAGATGACCACCCCCCGGCCCCCGAGGGTCAAGCAGGGCCAGTCTGTGTGTCCGAGCAGCCAGCAGCGCCCCCGCCTCCAGACAGCCGTCTGCAAGAGCCCGGCGGGGCCGGGGCACCTGCACATGCGTCTCCCCAGGCTCTTCTCCTGGGGACGTGTAGAACCAGTCATGGCCCCTCGGCTCGCACACCTTGGCTTTGTCCAGCTGGACCATCCCCTTGTCCGTCTCCCCAGTCCCTGAGCTAGTTTGGGGTGTTTTCATGAAAACCCAGGATCACCCTGATGGGCTGGAGACGTGCCCACCTGGAAACGTCTGTCACAGAAAGTAAAAGGCGTGTGTCCTGGCCCTGGAGGCCGGCCCCCCAGCAAGGGGTTTCGGTTCCTGTTCACTGAGACAGCGGTGCTGGGTTTGTGCTGCCCAGGGGAGGGCGCAGGGCTGGAGCCGGGCTGGGCCTGAGGGTTGTGGACAGAACGCTGCTGTCTGAGGCCCCAGCCTTTCCCGAAGAATGAGTGTCAGCACCGTGTTTGGAAGGAAATGTAAATCGTGCCCATGGGCAGCCTTCTCTGATTCTTCACCAGCGTCTGTCCTGGGACTGGAGTCTTCTCGGCCTGGCCCAGGGACAGGCACTCGGCCAGGGCCTCCCCCGCGTGTCTGTGTCCCGGCCCGGCCGCTCTACCCAGCTCCACCCAGCGATGCCTCCTCTAGGAGCCAGC